GGCTGAGTTCTCCTGTTGGGCTGAGTTCTCCTAGTCCTGTCTAAAGGTCCCTATTTATATGTCCCTGAATTGGTCGCTGCGTCACTAGAGTTTCCTCCACGTGGCTTTAATCTTTTTGCTACATCTTTGGTACTAAAATTTCTTCTAACGCCTCCCGTCGTTTAATTGGACGTTAACTAATCACTGGACTCACATAACGTTCCTAATAGCCTTGCCACGATGTTATCTTCCAAGCCACAACAATTGGTCAGTTGGTCAGCCTCCGCCAGGTCCGAGCTGATACTAAAATTTGTTCCAACGCCCCTTGCCGTTTAAATGCCCATTAACTAACCCTTGGTCAGTTGGTTCGTTACCGTGCTGCTGGATCTGATACGCTAGACCCTTCGGTCAGTTGGTCGGTACCCTGCTGTGGGATTCCCCCAACCCTGTACCGCCAGGTCGCACTCAGGTCCTTACACTCCACAGAATCTATATTTGCTTCATCCTTGGTTAACCAACAAGAGCAGTAACCTAACCCATTTTCAGGAGCAGTTTAATAAAAATGTAATATCATGATATCATTTTCAACAGCATAATATATCTTTAGTATTTATTATTTTTAAGCCTGTTTTTACCTTCATAGTCATTTCTTTGATAGCCTGATCAAACTCCCCTTCCCCTTTCTTTAGAAGTTCACCAACAGTCACTGTCTGAGCTGTCATCTGAGAAGATCAACATGCATCATTAAAGAAGTATTTATAAAGTACATATAATGAATAATAATAATAAAGTTTATCTGAAAAACACGCTTCATCCCCAAAAGCTCGAAGCGTGGTACAAAGTCAACCATATTAAAAAGAGAAATGAAAACAATCTAAAATTTACATTTAAAAAAACAGACGCAACAATATAAAACTACATACGAGCATACCAAGTCAAAGTCTTTCATCCCCTTTCAACCATAAGCAACACAAGCCAATATACATTAACTGAAAAAAAGATGGTAGATAGCATCACCCAAGAAGGTGTTTGCGAAATAGATGTGTTTTTAAATCGGTTTTAAAGGACTCCAGTGTCTGGCTGTTTCTGAGAGCGACTGGAAGGGCGTTCCAAATTGTTGGGCCGGCAAATGCAAAAGTGCGCTTTCTGTAAGTCTCAAGGCGAACACACGGTATCGATATTTTGCCACTATCGGATGAGCGGAGCTGTCTAGTGGGTACATAAGGCGTCATGAGTGCTTTGAGATAAGATGGCGCCAGGTCATGTAAGCAGCGGTAGCACAAAGTTGCAATTTTGTACTCTATGCGAGCGCAGACCGGCAGCCAGTGCAGCTCTCTCAGAAGTGTTTTAGCATGGCCAAATTTGCGTTTGCGAAGAAAAATGCGAGCCGCATTATTCTGCGCTCTTTGAATTTTATCCAGGAGCGTAGCTGGGAGACCCATAATGAGTGCATTGCAGTAGTCCATGCGTGATAATACAAATGCAGAAATCAGCCTCTTTGATGCATCTAACGTTAAAGAGTGAGGTGAATATAACTCAGGTGAATAATAATTTTAAGTCCCCTTACAGCAGGGGTAATCAAAGTCTTGCTAGTGGGGCAATTTCAACTAAAAACAACGAAGCATAATAATATGAGAAATACGGGGAAGACTGCGTTCAGGTTGAAGCTATAAGAAATATACAAAGGGCAGAGGATAACAGGAAAACCTAAATTCTGACTATAACAGAAAATGGAAGTTTCTGCCATAAAGCCTTCAACAGCAAATATAGTTAAAGACAGATACAAAAGTCTATAGTTAAAGACAGTGGCAAACACTCTATAGTTAAAGACAGAGACAAACACTCTTAGCTGGTTGTATAGATGTGTAGTAGGCTCACAGGCTAAAACATATTTTGTTCCGCTATTTATTTACTTTATGTGGCTTGAACGAAGTCCGCCATTATATAATTATTAAGCAATTTAAAATTTCTTAATTTTATACAATAAATGAAATGTCAAAGGATCCTCTGATCTGCCACAATAATAAGAAAGTGACTGTTTTTAAATTCTACCTATGACCTAGGATTTTTATATTAGCTCATGGCCAAAAATCCTGTGATTCTGTGATTAGAATGATTAGTAAATATAATATTTAATTTTTAAATGAAATGTTTAAAACAAAATTTCACTGTTAAACATTTAAAAAGTGAAATTAATGCATTCTTGTACCTGTAATAATATTAAGGTTAGAATAATCTCGTTACATAATTACCAAGCAGCAAATTTTATATATATTTATCAAATTAACATTGCAAATTATGCAAAACTGGAAATTACAGCCTTTAATAAATGAGAATTAGCATATTGTGAATTACCCAAAAATGTTCTTTATTTTTTTAAGTATTTGATTTTCATAAATGAAATGAATGGATATAAAATTCTCTCTTATATTAAAACATATTCTTAAAGAAAGGTCTCTTATGTAGACCTGAACTTACATTTGATTATCCTTTTACTTAAATTTCTAAGACAATACAGTTAGAAGTTAGATAGTACTTAAGACTTTAAGTCGGGACTTAAAGCTTGTAAAAGAAAGTGAGTATAGACAATAATGTATTGCACAATTTTACTTACTTTAGTTTTTATTGTTGTACAAGTATGGTCACTTGGCTGTTTTTAAGTTAAATTTTGCTCTAACACTAACTCTATCTATAACTAGGCTTATGAATACTGTCATTATTTAGTACACCAATATTTTAGAAAATTATTAAAATATGACTGTTTAATTTTAATATTACTAATATTAGGCTAATTTTCATTAGGCTATTATTTATAAAATATAATCCGTCCTAACCCTAAATTGTCATTCATTCATTTACCAATTATTTTTTTTTAATGTAATCATGATGATCATGTCATGATCTACTACTACTAACTGTGCCACAGTTCACACTGTGTCTAACTACAAATAAGTCAATGTCAATCAATGAGTTTAAATGAGCAACAGCAATGTAACCTCAAACTCAAAGCATAACCATAATTTAGAATTGTCAACAATTATGAAACAATATAATTAATTGAATATTGCTATATGGGTTTACTGAATTACTGAGCCTACTCAGTACTCAGGTAGCTGACTGATTACTTACACTTTTACTTTTAACTTTTACTTTACTAACTTATATTGAAACTGAATGAGAATGTTTTTAGTTTTAGACTTTTGCAAATGCCAAAATTAATATTATTTTTGTATTTGTCATTTAAAAGGCCTTTTGCGTTTTAATTGCTGAAATAGTTAATTAATTCCAATTTCAGTATTTTTCAACAACATTAACAAAGAAAGATACAATGTAATTATTAACTCTGTGGGTAAAAGGCATTTGTAAATCCATAACACTGACTTCTGACAATAATAATGCATTTTTTTTTTTATATTTCTGGTATCCAGGTAAATTTTAAAATTGAGAGCCAAACTTATGATTAGTTATAGTCCAATATTTACCTCAATATAAATTAGATTTCTTTTAAAATAAATATTAATACAAATAATAATAACATTTTTAAAGACTTAAGTAAAGCGGACTAAATGTAAGCGAACTATATATTATAAACAATAAGTAGCATGTGTTTTCTGGTTAATAAATACTACAAAATAATAATGAAAGCTTTAATAAAAGTGGCACTCCACAAGATAGACTACGACGGGCCATGGCCATCGTTACTGGCCGCTCACTGGAGTCGTTTCTAAAACTAAAATTTATATAAAAAATGTTATCATTATAAACTTATGATGCTTTTGAAAAATAACTAAATAAATAAATTTGAAGTATTGAAGCGATGACATGTAGGCCTACATTCAATATGCGGAGCATTTATTAATGTAACCTTAATTCATTAGTATTAGACTAGAGTTTCTCCTGCTAGCAACTACCAACCCCTTGTCCTTGGCCAATCCTAAATTTCATAATCCAGCCAGTCACTTTAAATCAAATCAAGTTTGCCGACCCCTTCTCTAACAAATAGGAAAAAGTTGTTCCCTTTTCTTCTTTTATCTTATTAATTTTTTTTTTTTAACTTAAGCGTAGGCAATTACTCGGGGATACAACTGTATTGTATCTAAAAGTTAAATCTGTATTTCATAGGGGTTCTCTCAGAAGAGCTGAAATACTGGAGGAGTCCCTCTTCAAAGTCTGTCCTTGCTGGAATCTTGGCCATGCGGAACGCTCATTTGTTTTTACCGAGGCTGAAAAGCGAGCACTATATCACGCCCCCCCCCCCCAACCACCACCACCTGGTAGGTTTGTAACAACAGACACTTCAATTATGATCTTCTTCCATACAGACAGTCCTACACCATACCCGTGGCTCTTTATTAATTAATATAATAACCACCTCCTAAAAAAGTAGGCTGCTTGACAGCTCCCCCCCCCCACTCAGTACCTACTATTTGTATAAAACATGTTGAGAGTGGGGGAGTGGGGGGGGGGTAAATCAAAAGCAGCAACACCAGAATCAAAATATATATAAGATATGTTCTGTATGTTGTAATATTCAGGGGAGGGTGTAATTCGCCTTTTTTCAATTGCATCGAATACCCTTTCCCCAATTATTATAACAGAAAAAATATCTCTTATATATTTTTATATAATAAACGGACGGTTTGTGGAGGGAGGGAAAAAATGGGGGTGGGTAGTTAAGCATTGTAACATTGTTTATTAATACATAAATGACCCCCTTAGTTCATTTTATGAAACTATTTTCGTTTCTGATTGTATTTATATGAATACGATTTATAAACTATTTACAAACATATCCATCTCCTGATGTCTTTTTTCTTTTTTCATGAGAATTACATTATTATTACGGTATTTTAAAGCCATTATTACGACTACTTGTAATTAATATTTAACACTGTATATCATGTTAATCATTTTTTATCAGGGTATAATTTTTATTGCAAATTCCCCAAAGTTCCCACGCAATAAGGTTTCGAGACTCCATTCCAACTAAAACCCCGTGGCCATTTTTGTGTTAAGACGTCACTTCCAGTCGCCATCTCGACCTTCGTAGTTTGCGTTTGGTAGTAATAAAATGGACAATAAAGAAGATTATCTTGATGCTCTGACAGGTCCTTTTTTGTTTGTTTGTACACCCTTTTTGGATTATTAAACTTCGTATTTATCTAAATAAATTTCAGAAACAACAATGAAGTCAGTGTATTTTAAGCTGCTGCTACTGATATTTAACATGTACATTTTTAAATTTTTTTAGCTTACTCGAGGAACCCAACGCCGGAAATACCCCCGATTCTTGAACAGTATTTGAACGGAGTAGCAAAAAATGGAGAAACCCTGTAAGTTTTTGTAGTAGTGCTTATTAAAATGGCTAGGCCTGCCACTGCTACAATAAGAAATGAAAAATGAACAGCCTAATTATAATTTATAGACCTATGCCGAAGGCGAAGCCTAATCCCCCTTTAGTTTTTATTTATGTGGTGTAGTTCATTTTTACAACACATCCTAAATCCTAAGAATTAAAACTTATTTCTAAAATAAACGACCGGAATGTCATATCCTTAGCCTTAAACTGCTAATAAATTAATAAAGTTTATGAAGGTGTATTAAATTCATTAAAAGAAAATTTTACCAGTTGACAATGACAAAAATGCCATGCTTCTTAAATATTCTGTTTTAAAGATACACATTGACATTACACCTTATTCACATCATGTGCTTAGTTGTACAGAAATATAAAGTCCACTAAAAAAATAATCAAATTGTAAAAACACTGGTGCCCAATGCCCCGCTCTCCATAAATAAATCACAAGATGAATTTTTCGGACTCTTTATTATTATAGAAATTCATGTCCATGTTTTTAACATTTGAAATTATATCTAAATTATTGTTGGGCAACTTTGACACATTTTTTTTTGTTCTACCTAGGGAATTTTTGAGAAGGTAAAAAGTAGAAAATATTTAAATTTTAAAAGCTAATTGCCTAGCTTATTTAAAAACTCTAAATTATGAGATAAGTCTATTAAAAAAAAAAAGGAAAGTACTAGTGGAGTCTAAATTTTCAATAATTGGCATATGACTCGGCACTAATTTAAATTATAGGCCTCATTGTTATATAATGTTATGGCATGGACTGGGACCATTTAAAACTGGTCATTGGCGGGAGGCTGCATGGGCATGGATTTTATAATTATTGTTTTTGCTCTTTTAACTTTATTTTATTTATCCTTATGATACATGACATTGAGCCAACTTAGTTTTTTTTAATGGGAATATTAGCAGTCACAGAAAAAATGTTTTATAGTATATTAAAGAGTATAACCCTACCCATCTATGATGCACCCCCACCCCCAAACTTTTTCATTAAAGTTCTAAAATGTCATGTTCACTTAAAATGCAATCTGTTTATCTTGTTCCATAACATGACTTTTCCCCGAAACATAAGGTTATAACCTATTATGGCCTATAAAACACTAACTTCAATAACTTTATCGAGACAGACAGTATTTATTTTTTAAATTTTAATTCAGTTCAGTGTTAGTGTAACTTACAGGAATTACTAGAGGTAGCTTAATTAACCTGTGCACTATCGTTAATAACTTTGAGATGGCTATCATCTGAATACAGTTTTTATAAAACTGCTTTTCATTTTCATTTATGTAAAAATTGAAAACTTGATGAAAATCAGATATTAAATTAAAGATAAAGAAGCTAGTTTTATTCAAAGGATTTAATTTTTAACCAAGAAGAAAACATGTTAGAGTGCTCATGCAGCAAGGGGGAGCGCATTCATAAATTTTTCTTGTTTCTAGACCTATAGATTGTTTTCCTGGTAATATAAAAAAAATGTGAATTCCTAACTTATCATTTTTTACACTATGTTTCTCACATTATATACAGTTACCTAGGTAAATGTTTTTTCTATATTGCTATACTGAATTTTGTATTCCAAAGTTAATTTCCCTTTTTTTTCCTTCAAGTTTTCATTGGCAACTCCTTAAGCCACTTATTGTTGGAAAGATGGAGAAAGTCATTGGGGAATTAAAAAAAGGACTAAGCTCTGAGATCATCCCCACCAGACCAAATGTGGAAAACGTGCGTTTTGAAGTTATGCATGGGCGAATTATGGAATCACTGCAAAAATTCAATGGGTGAGTAATTAAAAAATTGAATGATTTGGATTGTGTTAAACCTTTTATTGGTTAAAAAAAGGGCAGCACCAATGATCCCTTCTAAGATGTGCTGCTTTTCTTTTAATGTTTATTATTATTTATTTTTATTTTATTTAAGACTTTGAGCACTACATTTTGATCATAATTTTCAAACCCATTAGTTATAAATTTCTATGTATTATTGTTTCTTATTTTGTCTTGTCTTCTGAAGAAGACATTTAGCAGAAATGTCCTTGTAATTGTCCAGTTTTATTTTTCAAGCATAAACATATCTTGTTGCACTATTTATTTACATTTCCTGCCACCAGATGCTTTCAAAAGTTGTACCTTTCTAGTGTCTCTTGAATAAAATTTAGAAAAACTGTCTAACGCACTGAGAGAGTGACAGCAAGGATTTCACAACCTTATTTTAATTTTATTACACAGCACTTAGATAGATTTTTAAAAATATTTTACAAAAAATCCATTAAATATCCAAATTATTGTCAATATATTATCAATGATATTATATTTGTGAACATCTGTATGTAAACAAATAAATTATTATTTGCTTGGTGCATGCTGTAAAGTAGAACTATTTTATTTGAGTATGCAAAAACAGACCATTAAGTTAAAAAATAAATATAAATTCCACCAATTTGATTTCATAACAATAAATAGATGTGTTACTTGGAATTATTTCCCATTCTTGTCTTGAATTAGAAAAACAGTTGTTTTTGCTTTTTCTGACTCCAAAATCCAGAGTGAATTAATTTATGAAGAATTTTTCACTGCTTCATTTCAGTGCTCCATTTACAATTCAAAGGTTATGTGAACTACTTATTGATCCAAAGCAACACTACAAACGTAGCGATAAGTTCATGAGAGGACTGGAAAAGGTAAAGAAGTCTTTGTCAAAATTTTTTTAATTTAAGGTGGTTATTTTTCTTTTAGGCTTCATCCATACAACACATATTCATTGATGGGGGTGGGGTGGAGACTTGTTCGTATTTGTTAATTTAGCATACAGGTACAAGTGGGTAGAGAAAAATAAACATAGAAAAATGTCAGTATTTTCAATTTGTAATGATATGGATATTGACTACCTTATGAACAGCCTATTGGATACAAATTATTTTTTTAAAGAAGTTTACACCCCAACAGTCATCGTCGTTTCGCTCCCCCCCCCCCCCCCCCCCCCCCATTAAAGTTTCCAAAGTAGCACTGAAGCTACATAACGAAGACATGTATTTGAGACTTCGTTGGTTAAATTATTAACTCAGCTTTGCAATTCTGAAAAATATTTATGTAGCCATGGTCTTACACAAACCGTTAAAAATGATTTGATTTTTATATAATTTTTTATATTAGATGTAGATAGCATAACGTAACCTTTTGTTTCCCCAGAATGTTTTGGTGGTCAGTACAGTTGATCCGTTTGGAAAGTATGTGATCATCATTTTTTTCTTCTCCTTTTTCATTTTTTTAATCCGCAACAATAATAAGCAATAGGTAATGCTTTAGAGCTTTCAAAATATCTGTATATTCTATCAACTCTAATAGACAATAGAAACAATTATATTGTCCTTTAAACATATAGTGTGATTTATTTCAGGAAAATTGTGTCAGAGTCTGTGAATAAGCATCTAGTCAATGGCATGGACACAAATGGATCTCCCTTTTTCCCCCGTGACTCAAATATTAGCTCCAATTTGCCCCCTGTACCAGGATGGGTAACTTCAGCAGTCACAGTTCCTCCACGAAATACAAGTAGTCCAAATTTGGGATCTTTTGAAGATCAGAAGCCGACGCAGGTGCACACTTAAATTTTATTTCACCTCACATATTCTACCTGAATGTAATTTAACATAATTTTCAATTAATTAATTTTGTTTGATGAAGAATTATTTTTCTCTTCTAAATGAATATAGCTTAACTGAATATTTAAAATTGTGTTGAATTAGATTAATCAAGAATTCTAAGACATATTTGTAATTTTTTTTTTTATATCTGAATATTTCTTAAGGTGCCACCCCAGGATGCTAACCTTACAACAAATGGTGTCGCTAGTGGTTTAGTAAGCTCATTGTACACTGATAATGGAGAGCAACCATTGGCTGTCCATGCTGAAGAAGTTGTTGAAGAAACAATAGTAGGTTTTTCTTTTTATGTACGGTTACAGACTTATTAGGATATTTGTGAATCTCTAGGTTTAAAATAGCAATTCTTTAACTTGTTCATTCTGCAACTCATCAGATGATTTAGTAAGCTAGGTGGCTTTACTTTAGTGGACTAGAATTATGATTGGGATTGTTTTATAAGTCTTAAATAATTCTTAATAATTTTTTTAGGTAACAATGGACCCAACTGAAGTTGGTCCTGTTGCAACAGATGGTGGAGAAGCCATGGCAGAAGATGAAGAGGAAGAAGAAATTGGAGGTGATGACACGAATGCCTCGTCCACTTCATCATCATCTTCTTCTTCAGAAGATCTATCACCCTCTGATGCAGGTAAAAGAACTGCTCACTCTTATAATTTCGGCATACCATGTATGATTTTGAGATGTCTTTTACATTTGAACTACAAATTTAAGAGACGGGGTTTAAAAAATATATTCCCAGTAATTTTTCCGATTTAAAAGATGAAAAACATTTTCAGTTGATAGTTTCAACTTTTTTCCTCATCTGGCGGTGAATGAACAGAGAAATGGAATTGGTTGGGCACCATCCATAATTATACTAGGTACACACTGGGAGGACCATATGGTTGATGTGGTATTGACGTACGGGCGTATATATGAGGGGGGTAGGAGGAGCAGTGATGTCATTTACCCCACCCCTTTCCTGAATTTATTAAGGAATAGAAATATGCGTCTGTATCTAGAACAGCAGAGAAATCAAACATAGCAAAAATGAAATAGAAAAAACACATAATATTTGAATGAATTGCATTCTTAACTGCTCTGCACATTAGATTTTGACATATATTTTTTTTATAAGATCTAGAAAGCAGCTGTACAATGTTAATACCCCGGTTTGGTTCCATAACTCCTTATCCCAATACAGCTTGCTATAGGTATTTGAGTATAATGTATTAACGGAAAATAAAATAAAGCTTCTAGGAAGCCAAGGGCAAGGCACTTCCTTGCATTTAATTTTTTTTGTTGTTGTTAAATTTCTATGGAGGGGGGCTCACCCCTCCATCCCCCTTCTTTCAGATGACGGCACCAAACGCCATCTACTTTGGGAAGGTGTCCATAAGTTAGTGAATAGTTCTACAATCAGGAGCGTAGCTAAGGGTAGTACCACCCCAGGGCAACCCAATAATACCCCCCCCCCCCTTTTTTTTTTTTTACTGTTGCCAAAATTGTCACCTTTGTATATAGAGGGGAAAAAAATGGCAACTGTATGTATTTTTTATTTAATATTTTGATAGGATATTGTACGATTTTGTTATGGTGAAGTACTGTTCTAAAATGATATTGCACTACTTTTGGAGTGAGTTCTGAGGGAAGAATAACAAAATGTCTCTTGAATTTGAATGTTTGATGTAATTAGCCATTTTAAATAATAGTTTTGTAGTTTACCATCACTTTTCAAGAGTTTCACACATTGCAATATGTCCTTTTTCATAGTAGATACAGTAATCAAACAAAATATTAAGTGGCAACAATTATTAATTAACTCTCATACTCTACAAAAAGATTTCCAGAGACCAAAGGAGTTTAAAGATAATTTTAATGGTCTATGCTCCACTGGGAATCAAAAAGAGGCTTTCAAAACACATTTACTCAAGCAGTTATTGGTGTTCATAATGTCCAGTTGGATAAATAATTTTTGATATGATGTAAAAGACTAGCGGTTCTCAACCTGTGGATCACGAGTCTCGTCAAAGACCACCGGAAAACACATATACTCTACATGTATGACGTAGCAACAAAAATAATTTTTTCGTTGGGGTTAGCCACAACATAAGGAACTTTATTAAAGGGTTGCAGCATTAGGTATGTTGAGAACCACTGTAACAGACAGAACATTTACCTTGATAGCCACACAGCCCACTTTTTTCAGTTCACTCAAAAACACATTTCTTTTATTTTGAAAAAATATTAATAATTTAACGACATATTAAAATAGCTAAAGGTGTGGTTTAAATTGGACACACATCAAAATATCAATTTATATATATATATATATCATTTAATATATATTTTGTAATACTTAAAAATAACTTTTGTATCTTGAATTCAGTGTTTCCCATCATGTGATCAACTTTATGTTAAATGTAAAATAATGGCTAATTCCTATAACTCATTACTAAAAGAAAATATATTTGCAGTTGAAAGCACCACAGAATCTAAAGAGCAAGTCAGTCCCAGGGACAGCAGCATTCGACCGTGGGCTTCGATTGCAAATGTAGGAGAAAACAAAAAAGAGATCAATGCAATTGTTGCAAACTCTGAATCAAATAGTGAGAATTGCCCTGACGTTTGTACATCAGAATCCTCTAAACAGTTAACTCCAGCTAAAGCATGTGCAGATCTTGCAAGTCCATCCCCACAACCATCAGATTCACTGGATCAAAGTTTTGGTTTTGAGCCTACTGCTTTGAAAAATAAAAATGAAAATAAAGAAAACCTAACTACTGATATATCCCAACAAGTTTCAAAAAGTGTTGGTGTGGTTTCTTCCGAGTCAGCCGTTGCAGATCAAGTGAATCCTGACGCAGCCGAAGAGATATCTCCAGAATCACAAAGTCATGTTCGCACGTATGCTGAGGTTGCGGCATCAGCTTCAAGAATTTCAGAAGTTGAACCAATTCATAACAGTGTAGCTGGCTTGGAGAGACTTGTGGACTCTGTGGAAACTAAGTCATTACCAGCCAGGGTAAACATCTCTCAGTCATTGCCACTTATCACTCAGTCAGACTCGCCTTCATCATCATTGGACTCTGATGAGCCAAGGGCAAAACGATTCAAATTTTCAAATGAACCATCAACCACATCAGAAGTACCAGTAACTGAATTGGTGGCTTCTTCTTCTGAATTATCAACTTTGGCAGAACCTGATCTGCCCTTATCTGACGGTCATTCTCTCTCATCAGACATAACTACATCTGTCTGTGATGACAGAAGATTAGCAGACACAACAAATGGCGATGCTGCACTGCCTGATATTGTTACATCTAACCGAACGTCAGAACAAACGATTGAAAATCTTACAGATGTATCTTGCAGCTCAGAAGATGCAGAATCTCTAACTTCATCTTCTGTTGAACTTGGTGGCGGGGATACCGTTGGTCAGAGCAGAGAGGATCTTACATCTTCACCTCCATCCCATCTATCATCCTCGAGTGATAGTCAGGGATTTGATGTTTGTGGAGATACGTTAAGGAAGACAAATGAAAAACAAGATGAATCTGTTTCTGAAGAAGAGATCTCATCTCAACCTTGATATAAAAATATCATTACTTGTATGTGTAAACAGATGTTATGTTGATGGAAAAAGGATTTAACCAATGTCAAAGCTAGTAGTATGTGAAAATACAGACAAAAATCTGTTTTGTATTGGTAAGACAAAACCGTGAAAATACATGTCTGACGAGAGCAGGAGAATTTATGAAAGTGATGTTTGTAATTCCTCAGTTAGGATGGTGCAATATTATAAGTGGATTAATTTATTCAAGAATATTGTTACCAGTTTTAAAAGATAACTTTTCTTACATTGAGACAAAGCAGAAAGACAATCCAAACATTTTTAATTAGTGTGTTGTTGCCAGCAAAGCATTTGGTGTGAAAAATTCATCCTGAAGAAATTAATACTTCTGCGTTTAGTTTGGCACAGTTAAAAAGGCAGCAGAATAATGTCTCCAGTGGGGTTAACGGTGCAAGTAATTATTTGGAATTTTTAAAATGGATTAAGCAATCTTATTGCATAATTTAATTTTGAGGAGGTCTTAACTTCATAACAGGTATGGTTTTAATCTTATTTTATCCAGAGCACTTGTGACTTAATCCCCATTGGTTGATTTATTGCATGGTCTATTTGACCTTATGATTGCTAAGTTGTATATCTGGTCAATTGAATAAAAGTAATAAAATTCAATTAAAAGTTTTTTTTAATTTAGAAATTATCTATAATGCTTTGTGTTGATTTCATTTGAGGTCTGTTTAATCAAATGGTAACTTTAGTTTCCAACTCCCTCTTTCATTTCAAGGCATGAATTTGTTTTATTTTGAAGTGTGGTATCAAAGTGTCCCAAATGTTTGTGTATTCTTCACTATATTCAGTTAAAACTAGTCCCTCATCACAGAGGGATTAATCACAGACTATACAAAAAACAATTTCACAATGAAAGCTTTATTTTCATATTTTTAATACACCATAGTTTGAACACATACTATTTCATGGAAACTACAAATTCAGTGTTAAATGTGGTTACAATACTTGCATTTTAAATCTCACCAGGCTGTGAGCCTAAACTTTAAACAATTAACAGCCAGCTTATTTCACTGTGGACAACTAGAGAGAAAGTACAGGTAAAGTAAATTAATTAATTGTACCGGTACACTGAGGTACTAGTTTAAAGAATGAAGGAAAAATTTTTAAAAGGAAAACAAAAAGTACTTTAACCTTAAGTGCACATTGCTTTAAAAAGTAATTCAAATTTGATTAGGCGAATGTGACAATCAGAAGTTAAAGTCTACAAAACGATTGACTGATGTCTAATAACTTATATGAAGCTTTCAGGCAAGAACAGTTAATGGTGTGTTTTATTTTTGGTCAAATGCCTTGCTACAATTCCTCCTTTTCTATATCCTCATTGCTATTAGGAACATCAGTGTCATCTGTAAATAAAGATAACCAAATGTTCAGTTCATGCAAAAAGAAAAAAAAACCTACAACAATGTATAAAATCTGTGTCTCAATCGTGTATGTCTTTTGTTTTTATAATTTAACAATCACCAATTTAAAAAATCATTGCAACTGCCCTGGAATTCGCAAATTAGTATAATTAATTTTTAACAAATGTTATATTTATTTAATAAGACAATTTTTTAAAATATTTCATGTTTTAAATGGCGTGGTCCCAGCCACATATCATTTCAATAAATGAGCAGGACTTTGTGCCCAGTGATTAAATTTAATAATTTGAACATTTTGGGACACCTTTCTATGTTTTTTGTAAGGAGGTTGATTTCATTTGGTAGGTTTAGCTCCTTTTTTTCCCATTTAGCTTGAATGAAAGTATAATAAAGGTGTACATAAAAATAATGCAGGAAAGTAAAACAAAGAAACAAACCAAGATGAACTGTGTTATTAATTGTTGCATATTTTTTACACCTATTATGCTTAAACTTAAATACAAAATAGTGCATTCAAATAGAAATTTGAGAAAAATTTGATCGTGTGAACTACCCATTATTCTTCTCACATTCTAACATTGTACATAATTAATGATACATCACACAATTTTCAAACCCTTGAAATGTAATAAGTTAAAACCTGACTAATTTAGCTGGAGGTAGGGCAAAATAAATATTGAAACAGTTGACTGAAAAGCAGCAGAAAAGAAAACTAAATTTCATCATTTTACATAAATCATTATAAAGACATATACTTGATGGTACAGATACTGAAAAGTTTCATGGCAATAATCACTTATGACCCTACGGATTAGAGATAATTTTTTTTGTAATTCAAGATACATATTTAAATACAAGAAGTGCACATTAAATTAAAGTACTTCATAAATAAGCTTGTACATTTATAGTAACATAATGGATGATTTACATTTGAGAAACCAATGGGGACATGAACTGCTCAGTTGTGTGTAAGAAAAGTCACCATATAAATATAACATAAATAGTTAAAACAGTGCTGTTTTTCTGATACAAATGGACAGCCTCACGTTATCAACCCAGACAATAACTGAATTTTTACTGAAAACGTCATGACATAATATTTCAACACATTGTGAGAAAAGTATGTTTTTATTAAAAAATGTCGGTATGCCTTGATCAATAATGTAGGGAAAGATCTTGAATCAAAGCAAATAAACGCCTAGGTTCTAACCTCATGTACCCAGTATTGAATATAATCTTCAGAAAACACATTGGTATGATAGAAAAATGTACTTCATGGCCATGTTTCCCAAACATAACAGTTTGGACAAGTTTCGAATTTGCAACAAGGACAGATTTGTTACTCAAGGCTTGCGGACCGGTCGGCGAAGAATACTTTGTAAAACACTGCACTCTATGGCACAAAAAAATCGTGTAATGAAAATTCACACGTTAATTCAACAAATGGGGTACTTAAAAGTTGTCTTAGGTAGGGATTAGATATTTATCTCTCATTATCAGTCACAACAAGCTCATCTCAATAACATAAAACAATTATCAAATATTTAAATGGAATCAGCCAACTACATGAGAAAGTAAAAAAAAATATAAGTTTTTGTTATCAAAATTATTATGCAAATTATGAATTGATAATGAATCACCGAGAATTGGTGGCAAACCAAAGGACATGTATGATCATAAGAAGAGACAATGCGATAGTGACCAAATGACTAGAAGATGCAAATCTGCAACTTATTCCGTAGAAAGCCATGACCAGGAAATGACCAGTAATGCTGGGTATGTCTTTGAACTTGGCCCAGTCTAGTTCTTTACGTTTGGAAATGTTTTTCTTAAGCTGCTCTGCCAGGTTGGGTGGCTGCGCAATTTTTTTTGAGGATTTGTAGATTTCTGAAGATGAGAGCAATAATATGAAGACCAATGACACTTGAAGAAACATTTAGGGAGAAATTGTATGCTTTGCAGTTTGTACTCATACTTCATAAGTTATAGATAACTTCAGGCTAAAAAAGCAGTCATCACTGCAGTTTTCTTTAAAAAATAGTTTAGTTCATGAAAGTACTAGTGCTTGAACAATATTGAGGAAACATAGATCTTTCTTTGTAAAGCATTACTAGAATCATTACTAGAAGTTGTAGTTTTTGGTGAACAGCAATTTACATGAAACTGAAACCCATAAAATCTTTATACCATACATCTTTTGACATCCCTGATTGTAAAATGTCAATGAAGAAAATTTTTTTAATGAGTAAACTTAAATTATAAGAGATTACGATTGTATTTGCACTATCTTCCCAGAATAACCTGGAAAAGGCAAGAAGTAGAAGAGAGTACATGTTAGAGAGAAAGTTAAAAGTATAATTATGAGTTTCTTTCAACTGGTGAAGCAATAATATTAGTAATGGCTCCTTTTTTCTTCTAATAATGCATTAGGTAGATCTTTTGGTTAATCATAAAGCGTGCAGTGACATAAAAATGTTCAGGTAATTCAACCATTTATTAATGTTTTATCTGTGCATCTATAGTCTTTCACTTTCAGTCAAAATCCTCAAACAGCCTGTAACTCACTGTTAGTAAATTTATTATGATTTTAAGTGAAAGTTAATCAAACCTGCAATCCTAAGATAAACCACCCCTCCTTGTTTTGGGGAACCATTGAATTAAAGATTTTGATAAAAATACATGATTAAAGTGACAAAATAAATTGTTCTTGGCTTTTAGTTACAAACTAAAATCAGTTAGTGGTGTGAGGTAAATTAATTGTTACTGGCAAAAGAATGACCAGTATACAATTATTTACAGTTGTGTTTTTATTTTAAGGACCGGTAATGACTAGTAATGTCTTAGGCAACAAGATGTTGTTCTTCTTTTTGTACCAGTGTATGTTATCATAAACTTAAGATAATATATGATTTTAAAAAATGATTAATATTAAGTCAGACCGCAAAGGATTTCACTTTCATAATTGTATACCCCGGTAACTTAAAGATCTAAATAAATTATATATAATTGTATCCCCAGTAAACAGGAGATTTTGTGCAACCTTTCATCATATTTACTTCTTGAATCCATCAAGAATGTTCACACCTAACATAGCATAAATATTTTATGGCATAAAAAAGCATTTGAAAAAAAAATCAAAATGGCTTCCAAAAATTCGTAAGAAGCCACTTACAAATAACAGATGTGCAATCAATCATTAAAAATTACTTCAAGCAGATCGTGCATGCTTCTTAACTTTGCTAATATACAAAATACAGAAAAATGTGATAGGATAAAAAAAATATACCTGCTGCAATGTATAAATAATAATTAAGCCAATTTGTCATTTTTTTTTTAAATTATGCTATTACTGGTTATATAGATGATGTCAGTGATCATTTTTAGATTTAACTTAAAGTTAAGGTACCAGGTTTGATAAATTCCCCAGTGTTATGCAAATACAAAGTAACATCCCTTGGTTCTTACTGATATTTAAGTGCAAAAATAGAGCTTATAAAAAAATGAACCCATGTAACAAATAATCCTCTACAAACTGAGCTTTTCAACAGAGATTAAATGAACACATTGGGTTGACATCAACAAAGCAAAAACCATTCCAGAATTAACATGTTTAACTTAATCAGTACAAATGCATAAGATGCTTGGGGGGGGGGGGGGGGGGGGCTTTGAGTCTTTTAAAAAAAAATTGTTTTTACTACCAGTATTTACATTTTTAATATTGAAATGTATACAACATTTTCTTTAGGTACCAGTATTATGAAAAAATATCAAGGTATAGCCAATAAACATAAAATTTTCAAATTACCATTAAAAACACAAATGGCAAAAAATCAACAAGTGCATCTAACTTCTACGGGTCAAAGTTAACAGAAGTAAACACAGATTCTATTACTAAGGCTAAGGATGTGACTATTTGTGTTGCATACAAATACACAATGCCAGACACACACAGGTTTAAACAATGTTCAACTCTATTTCAACAATCATCACACTCATAAAACAAAAGATGGACGGTTGGGTTTTGTTGTTGGGTTTTCTTTATAAAGAAATCCAATAAACATGACAAGTTTGAAAGTTTTAAGAAGACAGGCAATAAAAAAATTAAAAAAGACATTTTAACTTAGAAAACATTATTCTTTTTTTTTTATAAGTCCCTCCTAGATGCCATGAGCAGTTAACAGCCAAGAGTGATGACAGTTGCCGTACTGTTCTACCAACTCTGGATGATTTGTGTTATTTGAATTTTGAAAGTAGCAGGTAATTTATTTTACATGGAGAATGACATTTAGATGAGAAAATGACATAATTCACCTTGGATCAACGTACACAATGTTTCATGGTATTTAAATTGCCAGCAGTTAAGATTTGAACGAGCAGGTAGCGGTATACAAATTAATTATAAAAAGGGAATTATTTGCAACCACAAATACTTTTTTTTGTGACTGACAAAAAACAAATTTTAAAAATGAACCGACCAACATTAACTATCATAAAGAGAAGGAAACTACTGAGTAAAAGTCAAATGTAAAGGCAGTAAATAAAAACTAACTTTGACCAATTGTTATCAGAATATTTTAAAATCATTTTTGTTCAGCTTCTATTAGAAGGTTATGAATAAAGTTATGCTGACAAGAGAGACTAATATCATAGAAAAAACATCTTAATTAAATTTTTTTTAAATTGTGTCTTTCTAATAGTTCTTACCTTTAGGTAGTTCCACACATGAGCCATCTTTCATTTCATAGCCAACTTTGCAAACACATTCATAATTTCCAGGTTTGTTCTTGCAAACTGTATGTTCACCTTCGCAAAGACTGGAGTCTTTTTCACACTCATTGATATCTGTTGGAAGTCATATTCTCATATTTTAAATTTTATGAATAAATTCAGCTATGACGTCTCATAGCATTTATAGCAAAAAATGAAAAGCTATTGTGCAAAAGTGTCTCGAAATGTTAATACAAAATGTATCATTTCTTTTTGCTGACCAAGTTTGAATTTTAAAAAACACAACACATTTACCGGCATGTCGCCAGTAAATGTGTTGTGTTTTTTTAAGATGAAGATATCTAATATTTTTAATTAACATTTTTTTTCATGAATTTTTTTTAAAATACATTTTTTTTTTTAGGTTGAGAAATTTTAGAACTCAGACCAAAATAGGGTCCGATTTTACATACTGGCGTGTACCATCACAGAAAAATGGCAAATAGAATGAAGAAAGAGGTTCAATCTTGATAAATCTGGAGGGCTCCAGCTTTAAATTGAAATGAAAAGAACTATTGAGCTATTGGTGTCTGCGACTAAAGAGTTTGACAGGGTCACAATTAGGTTACAGTCATCTGTTGCTATTGTTATAGAGAGCTTGTTTACACAATATTTCTCGTACGTGCCCTCTGATTGACCCCGCATGAGACGCTGTGTTCACAAAGGGGTGTGGCTTAGGTCTTTGATGTATTTCTTGCTTACGCCGCCAACGAATAAAAATAATTAATCTGTTCCAAATAGTATTTGGTAGAATGATTGGGATTTTTCTCGAAATGTCTCGAAGGCAGGGCTTGGGCGTCGGTAGACCCACCTATATAAGGGATTGACAGGCACGGACGACAGACGGAGATTTCCTATAGATTCTCTTAACATTACGAGGCGTGTTTTATTCTTTGTGTATTTGTGTGCTCCTACTTATATGTGTTTATTTCGCATTATTTATTGGCATCATTATTTCTAATTGTATTAACTGTGTACCGGTACGACATCTGCCATACTGTAAGTTGAAGATTGTAATTTTATTTTATTTTATTTTGTAATTATCTTAAGACTTAATAAATCTTAATTAATTGTAACTAGAAACTGTTTTGGGTCGTATCTTTAATATTGTTGATTATATGGTATCGTCCTTTGTTAGGCACTGTTTACAACGAGCCAATTAAAATTAAAATAGGAGATTAATTTCTCCCAATACAAATCAATACTATTGATTAAAAATTTAATTATTTGTAAAATAAAAATGAAATTAAAAAAATTTTGGTAAAAATTACATTTTTTCTTTATCAAATTTATAAGAGTGTCCTTATTTTTTCTTCTCACCAATACCAAGGGCGCTGCGCACGGGTGCCACGTGCGAGCATGCACGCAGCTCAGAGGGAACACTGCACTCAAGTAAACTTGATGTGTTTATAATCCCATTATGGCCTGCTGCTCAAGCCAATCAGCCATGAAGCCAGGTATCAATGCTCAAAAGTTCAAAGCAATCACTTAACCTGTGGCTAAAATTCCTGTGGGCCACCAAGCATGGCCCCAGACAACACTTCATTGTATAAAACATATCTCTATTACAGCACTGGTAACAAATCTAATGAACACGTAAGTAACCTATTGAACATGTAACCAGATCTTCAAACTGAAGTAAAATACAAGGTTTACAAGGTTAATATGTTGAGCATCTTGATAAACAAAAATGTTGCCCTTAATTTAAATTATTGTGAGGCGAATATGCAGCAATATGAAAAGAAATTATCTTTAAAAATTTCTTACAAATGGCAGTACTTACCTAGACACTCTTTTGTCTCTTCATTTAAAGTGAATCCTGTGTTACACTCTTCACATTTGTATGATCCTGGACCAGTGCAAGATAAGCATGCTTCATCACAAGCTAAAGGAATAAAGACAGAAATAAGACAGTGAAATAGTTAATATATTTAAAACTATGTGCCACACAATATCATAGCATTTTTCGGTATTTGAAGTGTCCCTATCTTATTGAAATGTTGTGAATACATTCTTCGGTCTGTTATCAAAAGTTACAGCCCCAGAAAGACCAAAACAAAATACCCAGTCAATAGGGAAGTCCCCCCTAGAGGCAAAGACACCCCATTTCGCTGTACTTCATAAAAATTGTTTGCTGAGATGAAATGGTTTTTCCTACAGCCTTCAAAGAAATAATGACTTACTGAAACATGTGTATGATCCTTGAGTATTGGTGCAATACTGGTTTTCTTCACAGGGATCTGACAGACACTCATTTATATCTGAAATTAGTTTCATGTTTTAATATAAATTAATTTTATGTGGAGAATTGTCAACAGGAAGTTTCAAAAGCCTGTCAGTGCTCCGTACATGTGTGACCTGAGCAGCATTTAAAACTCATGTCTGTTGCATGTGAGCTGGTCTTGTCTCACTGACTTGAATAATTTTCCCACTTCAATTAAAAATGTTTTATTAAAAATACAGTTAGATGCACCACTATCCTAAAATACTAAAAAAAATATATCTTTTTGTACCTTTCCAAATTATGAAAAACTTTTCATTTTCATACAATTAACTACCGGTAGTTTAAAACAGGATATTTTTTATCAAGGGCTTGGAGTTAATTCTTTTTTTTTTTTTTTAAGTCCTCACCTTGACATCCATCATCTTCATTGGCCAGCCAACCACTTTTACACTCATCACAGCCTTTGGGTCCACTTTCCCAACAAGTATTTTTACATGCAATGTGACATACTGAAAACAAAGTTTGATTGATTGACAAATTGTCCTAAATTAAATTATTAGTTCAAATTGTTCCAGGACATATTTCTTAACGCTATGACTATAACTTTCAAGTGCCTTTATTGTAATGTCAAGCCATTTTTAACATTTTCGTTTGCTTGTCGAAAGTGACAAAATCCCAGACTAAATGAATTCAGAGACCCTTACAAGTAGACATTTTCTGAAAGTACACTGGACAAGGTATCTTATGGTATGAACAGAATTTGTTTTTATACAGGGTATACGTTTTTTTATATTGACCTTTACTGAGTGAGTAAAATTTTACTAATCTAATTCTGAATTCAACCCATCCTAATACTCCATAAATTGTTCAAACTATCACAAAACCAAGTTTTTGAGATAATAGCAGCAACATTTTGTCAGAAAATGTCAAGCTATAATAAACTCAGTCGGGGCTTATAATAAACTCAGTCGGGGCTTATAATAAACTCAGTAGGGGCTTATAATAAACTCAGTAGGGGCTTATATGGGAATTGTAATACTTGTGATTTTTTTTTTTATTCACTACCGAGTACCTTTAAATTTTGGTCATACAAACACAAGGGGGAAAGCATGAAATGAGTTCAAAAATTCATTTTTAACTGAAGTTGATAAATCCTTTTATTTATTAATTAATACTCCAGAAGATACACAATCATTAACGTGTATGAACATCTTTATGGTAGGTCTTTGGGATCCAATCTTTGTCTATTTGACTTTCACCCTTTCCCAAACGAAATTGTCTGTTACATAGGACTAAGCGTTGATATCTGATTCTTATGTCGCCATCACCACAAGAGCTAATATTGTCATTACTAGCACATGGAATATCTATGAAATCGTTGCTTTCATTTTAATCGATTTGAAAGGATTCGAATAAAGAAAGTCTGTTTTGATTTTCTGAGCTGGAGGGGGCCATCTCCAGCATTAGACATAATAGTAGTCAAACAAATTGAGCAAATTCCACACCCGATTAATCACAAAATAAACCCCAATAAAAACATGCTAATACACAGAAGTAGGAAGCAAACTCATTAATATAGAGTGATTTCCCCTTAACTATTTTAATGATGATTTTGCAATCGGCCATGAAACCACAGAAAGAGGTATAATGGCCGACCATTAACTGTTAGGACAGTTATTTATAGGGTTAAATTAAACTTTCATTACTGAAAGGTAACTTTCTTTTCTTTTATTTTAAAATAAATGGAGAATAATTTGTCAACTGTTGTTGAGACCAAAAATGAGAATTGAATTTTTTCAAATTTGTTATTATGTTTAGTTACTATCTTTTGTACCATTTTGTTTAGTTGCTATTCTATCAATCACAAAATAATTTTACAGTCTTTGATATCTCACCTTTGCACACAGTATGAGTATCATTCTTGCTCTCTTCATAGAAGCCATCTTTGCACTGATTGCATAAATCTCCTTGGTAACCCGAAGTGCACTGACATTTACCACTTCCTTCTCTGGTACCCTCGCCCTGCACACACAGAGGATGTATACAAAAATTATTTTTAAAAATTGAATTTGAATGAACCAACAATATTCAGAAATAACTGGTTTTAAAATAGACCTATTTTGACATGACTTACTGTATTTTAAAATATCATGGCTAAAAACAAGATATACCCTGTACTTTTTAAACCCTTTAGAAAATAATCTTTAAGCATAAAATTTTAGGAAAAATATTTTTAAAATTGTTTAAAAGTCAAACTAGTGAGCACAAGCGAGGCATGTCTCTATCTTGTCCTTGAAATACCACCCATTAAGCATTCCTTTCATTAGTTCAGCTAGATATAAAACAAGTAATGACCTTGTGTCTGAGGGTTTAATTCACATTAAAATTTTTAAACAATTTTTTATGATACCGGCTACCGTAATCAATTTTTTTACAATAATTTTTCTTAATTTTCTAAATTGAGCTGACACTGAGCTTGACATTTTTTTTTAAAAAGTTGAATCAGCGTATTCTAAAAATTTGAATTTGCACAACGCTCAGTTCCATTAGTAAGGTTAGGTTTAAAAATAAACCAGACAAACGCAGTCTTAAAATATGATCCCTAAAAACCACAAGTTGCACAACATGCTCAGGAATTAAGGTCCTGAAAACTATCAAGTTAAAATCAAAGGAAAAATTGATGTACTTTTATTTTATGGGTAAATTAGAACAATGGATTATATCTGAATACAGACATGGTGTTTTTTTTAAAAAAAGAGAGAAAACGATAGTTCCCCATTAGTTTAAAAAAATAAATAAAATTGTTACTGGTATACAAAAGAAGTACAAACTATACAAAATCGAGTACCGGTACATAATAAATGACTTACAAGACATTTTCCATTGCCACTGCACGGTTGATCAATACCTCCAGGACACTGAGAGCAGTCTGGGCCGTATGTATTGTTGGGGCAACACGCTACAAAGAGATAATGGGGTGATAGTGTCATAAGAATCCTCCAGAGGATTCGTCACTTAAAACATTACTACTTTCAAATGAAATCAAATGTCTGACAGTTAGTAGAGTTAATTTAAATTAAATTGTGCAAAGGTAATCTAAAGATGATAAAATATTCTAATGCGTTATCTTTTAAGGTTAAGCGTACATACCTTGCACATGATCAATACAAAAGAAATTGTAAAAATTAGTATCTTTCTTTTGTGCCAGTTCTTGAAACCAGTATTTCTCCACCAGCTCTTCATACTCTTCTAATACCGGATGGCACTGTTGATTGAAGAACAGTTTTTAAAAATTGTGTAACACAACTCTACAACTTATCTGTTAGTGCAGCTGAACAGTTGAGACAAATAACAGGTCGCTTAACGCAATGCTGGGTATGTATTCAAGCAATGCTGGGTATGTATTCAAGCAATGCCGGGTATGTATTTGGAAACAAACCTTGCTTTTTTTTTTTGTTTGTTTGTTTTTTTTGGGTTTTTTTTTGTTGTTGCCATGATTAATGCTTTAAAAAACAGCAACAAAAAATCCCAAAAACAACAACATTAGTAAGATATTTATTGACTACCGGTACTTGGCTAATCTGTTTTCCCTTTAAATAGAAATGAAAAAATCTTATAAATTTTATTAAAATTAAAACAATAATTATAGGTTCAGTTTTTTTTAAACATAATTATGTAAAATAATTTTTTTTGCGTGGAATAAATGTTTGAAATGGGTTATGAGACAACTCATTAACTCTTAAAGTCCGACGCGCCAGTGTAACTGGCTTTCCGCCTGTCACCTTTTGACGCAGCCAGTCTATGTGGCGTTTTATAGTGACTCTTTAATTTTGGGATTTTATATAAACATTTCGGTATTTTGTCCAAATCAATATTTCCACATCCTCTTCTGGTGTTTACCTTTTTAAAACGTGCAGGGAATTTGTTTTTTATTGCAATTTTACTAGAAAAGTTATGAAACATTGTCTGTGGTCACCTAGGGTCAAATTTTATCACAACAAAATTACTTCGTCAAAATGTGGATTTGACCTACGGACACTAAGAGTTAAGCTGATTTCATTTTACAGCTAAATTTATTTATAACTGAAACATATTGAATTTTTTTTTTCCTACATGGATACAAATTATGTTTCCTTACCTCTTTTGAACTGTCATCACAAATGTGTTCCAAAATTTCAACCAGGCGAACTTCACTTTGTGGGGAAAAATATTAATATGATTGAAAAATACACCAGCTGTTTATTTAGACCTCAAGGTGAATATAATGAAAAGCTTAATAATAAAATTTCAATCACACCAAGTTTTATAACCCAGTACGTATGTACTGTAAGAAATAAGATATGGCAAGGTAAAGAATAGATCTTCAGCAATACTGCCGGAATAAGATATGGCAAGGTAAAGAATAGGCATACAATAAGATATGACAAGGTAAAGAATAGGCATACAATAAGTAATGACAAGGTAAAGAATAGGCATACAATAAGATATGGCAAGGTAAAGAATAGATCTTCAGCAATACTGCCCGAATAAGATATGGCAAGGTAAAGAATAGACCTTCGGTTATATTGCTGGTATATACATTTTTATGTTTCCTCCAATAGGCCATTAGGGGATATTTCTTAAAATATAATTTAAGTGAATGAAATACTAAATGATAAATTAAAACTGCTCCAAACCTTGTTGAATAAGAGCCCAAAGATTTTTCTTCCCATTTAGTATTTCCTCCACCAAAATTTGACTTGGCTGTTGAAACCAGTCCCTGTTACAGAATATAAATTTAATTTTAACTCTAGAAAACAATGACATTTTGTACCGTTATTTACTGTACAATTTATCTTTTTTTTCTCAAATAAAGGAGTCAATTTTCACTGAAACTTCTATAGTAAATGGTAGTTAGGGAGCAAGAGTAGTTTCTGTTTCTTTACCTAAAGTGTAAATAATATTTTTATTTACATTTAACAGCTATATTTGAGGCATGAAAGATGTTATTAACTTACAAGCTAGTAATGGTTCGCTTCCTTGATTTAAAAAAAAAAGTATAAATACAATACTGGTTATTATAAGAGTTTAAAATTGGTACAATGGCAATTCTTAAAATCCATTAAGACAACAAACCTTTTGAAAATTCAGAACGATCTCTGTGCATACGCTGCATTTAGGCTTGTTCTTCCCATCAACCATGGACATTGAGGTAAAGACTATCCATAAAAACATGGCCATTTTTCTAATATTAAGAACACATATATTTTGAGAGTCTTGATGAAATTTCATTTCAAATTTCATTTGCTTAATTTTAAAGTCTGATATACCGATACACACTCTGAAAGTTTAATCTCCTATTTGAAGCTTTTCAACTTTCAGGCACTTGTTGAATCTTTAAAACTTGAAATTCTTCCTGATGTCTTCATGCATATCTGTTCACTTGTTACAATTTGAGCAACAATTACAGTCACTGTAAAAGTTTATTTATACATATCATCAGAAAAGTGAAAATGAATGTCTTTATGTCAAATGATATAGAATACATATTTATTCTTTGTAACAAGGTTTCTTAACCAGAGGTACCAGCACCCCCTGGTGTGCGGGAGACAGTGTCAGGGGGAAGACCCAGAAAATCATTTTATTTCCATTTTATAATGTTAGGTGTGCAGGAAATAAGTTTTGAAATTATGAGGGGATGCTGTAAATTATTTGAAATTGAAAAGGGGTGTAGGGGTGCAGCGCTGCAAAAAGGTTAACAATCCCAGATTTATATAATTCATCAAGATCAGTGTTAGCTTGGCGTACCATAATTTTAAGGGTTGAAACTAGGACAAATAGGAGCATCATGCAGGGACTGAAAGTCTTCATCATGTGGGTTGGTTTTTTTTTTTTTTGGAGGGAGAATTACTATTCTCCACATCAGCTAGAGAGTTTCACAGCTGTGGGGTTACTGAGAAGGTTCAGGGGTCGGTGAACAGAATTTCCTTTGTAATTTTATTACATACATTCAAATACTTTAATCTAAGAATCAGTCTGTGGCCTTCATCTCAGTGCAGAGGGATCAATGGACTAAAAAAGGTTGGGGACCCCTCCTTTAACTGGTTGAAGATATTGAAGCATTGCCAGCAATACTCAGCACACGTAACATTTTAACCTTACACTGAAAAGGTAAAATTTAGTTTTAAAAATGCCACCTTTTTTTAAAAAAAAGATACTATTTATTTGAAGAAGATGTCAAATATTTTGAACAATATTGAGAACCAAGTTCAAAGTTTTAACGGCTAGAAAATAACACACAAAAAAAAAGGTTTGGTTTCATCCTCTCAAACAATGGAAGTCTTGACAGAACTGGGAAACAAATGTAGGTGTCTCCATGACATTGTGTAACCACTGACAACATCACAGAAACAAAAGAAAATAGAATGTGAGAGGGGAAATGCTGGAAAGGAAGGGAAATGTATGATAGTAATATCATGCTTAGTCTTGTACATAATTAAGCTTGTAAAATCTTGATAAAAATCATATTTAAAAACATCCAGAGCTTTACATTTGCATCTGGCATACTGCGCATTTTCAGCAAGCCGATTAGCAGATTAATTGCCCACAAAAAGCTGACTACTAATTAATCTGCACAATTGCCGATTAGGCCAATTACAAATTATTTGCAGATTGATTCGTTAACCCTAGCAATTAAATTTTGTTTCTTTTCTGGTGACAATATAAATAATTTACAAATTAGGCTCAATCCAATCCTGCACCACACAGTACAAGTATAAAGTTGAAATTAAATGTGTTTTCACAACTCAGACTCAGACTATACATTTATAACTCTATACTTTACTTAAAATTATCAGATGTCAGATCTCTTGTGGATTTTATTGTAATTGTATTATATCTCTCGTCTCATTACATTAATTATTTAGTAACTAGCTAGTAGTTAGTAGTACTGCAACAATGGTCAATAATGGTGAACTTCAATGCATTGCTTCCATTACATCATAGATGACATAGTCATAGACCTAGGTCCTAAGCCTAGTTATGAGTATTTTATTTTAAGCTACTACAGACTACACTACAATTGTCACTAGTGAATTGACATTGTAAAGTACCCCTATTAATTAATTAATTAGTTAGTACTATGTAATTTTAGAGTGTCACACTATCTTAATGTTATACTTATAAACTTAAAGTACAAGATGTAAGATGAAGATAATGGTACCAAATATAACTACTAATTTTTACTAAATTTAATAATATATTTACTACCGACGGTACTCACTCCAAACTCACTCACTGACACTGATCTGGTAGGTATCTGTTACTAACAGTAACAGTACTAGATCTAACACTACTGTTAGTCTAAATTTACTATGGAAAAAATATCCCAACAAATAAAGGTTTTTTTTTTTTAATAATGAAAATTAAAATATCTAGAATTACCATGTTACCAGCAGTTATCCTTTACTTTCGGTACTTTAAAGGGACGGCGATGTGTCTCATGCATACGTACGACACGACGTAGGAGTTCGCTTGTGTACGCCGGTGTGTTTTAACTAGCATATTTTATCCAATTATTTGGAGACACGTATTTTGTGCGTATCTTGCCGGAATGTCTTGCCATTTTGTCTCGCACTATTATTCTTGTAAATGTAATTGATATGAAAAAATGAATGTTGCTAGGGAATAGGGTTATTGGGGTCTAATGATAGTCTATTGATATAAATATGAAAATTTTAATTTTAAAGTTTTAAGAACCCTCTAACTTTTAAGTGTTGATTTTTGCAAAGTCCGCTTAAGAGAAAAAAGTTTAAGACGGGTTGACAGCTATAATATTTAATATTATCAGTTTTTTAAATACTTAAAGTAGATTGTAAAAATTTTAACAATTATTATGTCTTACTATTTCTTTTTAATTTTTAAAGTAAAATGGATAAGTTTAACAACAATTAAACAAAAGCCACATAGGCTTAACTACTATTCTATTCTTAATTTAATTAATTGAATTAACTTTTCAACCCCTTGCATTAGGTATGGACGTTGAGTGCTTTAGACAGTACGTATTATTTATTTTCCAACCCCAACCTATCGTCATTAATTTGGGGGGGGGGGGTTTTTTTTTTTTAAACATTAAATTTGGAATGGAGACTCGCACATGGTGTCAATTTTTTTAATTTCATTTTTTATTTTTTTTTTAATTTTTATTTTTATTTTTCAACCCCAACCTATCGTCATTAATTTGGGGGGGGGGATTTTTTTTTTTTAAACATTAAATTTGGAATGGAGACTCGCACATGGTGTCAATTTTTTTAATTTCATTTGTTATTGATTTTTTAATTTTTATTTTGGAAATATTCAGTCAAAAGGTTCAAAATTCTGAGATCAATTAAAAATTCACAGAGTTTTAATATCGACATCTCATAATTAGGCCATGTCCCTTGATTATACTTAAAAGCATAGAGCCCATTCGGCAGGTTTGAACTAATTGGCTGCCCGGATAGGTTATAAGGGCCCTCCATTATTGATGGCATGCTATTTTTACGATTTTTGACACCCTTACCTCTCCTAGCGTCACAAATATGTATCTATTAATTCTCTAATTTCTCTGCTGGACTCCAACGCTCTTCAGCCGGAATGCTTATCATTAAACATTCCCATCATTAATTATTAATTTCGATGCTGACCGCCTTCACGTCTATTTTACGCTTATAATTTTATAAACCCGGTAGCGAAGTTGCGGCCATCCAAAATCTCTCCCCTCGGAGACATTTCATTTTGTTTTTCGAGTGTGGTGGGAAAACCAAAACTTGGTGTACTTGTTGAGTTGTTTATTACTGAAGGCACCACAGCAAATCTCAATTTAAATAAGAATTGCCAGATTATGATTTATGTTTTCTTTTGTTAATTTTAAATGACAGCTGCACCCGACTCAGGCCTTATTTAACCACCATTCAATGTATGTCAAACAGCTTTTTAAAAAAAAAACTAGTTAGAATCTGTAAGTGTAAGGCCAAGGCTAATTCACAGGTGTTGAAGGCCTACTAAATCTGTTATGGGGACTTATTCTAATTGGTTAGTGTGTGGGTTTTTTAGAACTGCAGTTGCCAATTAATTGTGGAAATAATTGTATGACAATGTCTCCAGGTATATAAGTCATTGTATATGACTTCAAAATATGACTTTAACATTATGACTGCATTGACAGGTTTGCTTTCTATAGTAGATATGATATAATTTATTCTGTACGGTAATATACAATTTAGTTAATGTCAAGAAGTAAAATAACTAATTCAAACTGGTATTTTTTATATGATCTAACAGTAACATTATTTTGTTCTTTCAGAGGGCACTTTCCACGGTAGGCCTATATTGGACAATTGCAGAAACAACATTAGATAAAAGCCTGGGACATAAGGAAGTTAATACAATTTGAGTAACGTCAAAACAATGGTTAAAAGATGAGGACATGCAAACATATATGGGGGAATGTATGTCCATTGTAGCAAATCATTCAAAAAATTATTATTTGACAAATTATAAATTAAATTTATACTAATTAAACATGCTTTTTAAATTTTCAATATATTCTATTACTCTTGACTAGTTTTGTTTCTTCTTTTAATTGGTTTAACTTTTTAAGACTTGTATATAATCTTATATTGAACAATGTTACAGCAAAGCACGACATTCCTAAATATTCATTGAAAATCTAATATTTTATCAAATACCAGAAGTTCTACAAGCTGCAAAAACAGTAGTGGGATTGAGTCGGTTTGCAGAGTTTTGACAGAAATGTTTTATTTGGGTTCATCAAACTGGTTGTTAAAATCTGGGTTCCCTCTAAAGCAGTGGTTCTTAACCTCCCTAATGCAGCGACCCTTTAATACAGTTCATTTTGTGGCGACCCCCCCAACCACAATTATTTTCGTTGATACTTCATAACTGTATATTATATGTGTTTTCCGGTGGTTTAGTGGTTTTAGACAACCCCTGTGAAAGGTGATTTTAGACGACCCCTGTGGAAGGGTCATTCGACCCCCAAATTTAATCACCAATTTAAATTGCTTCCTTGAAAAAATTTATTTTATATTCGTGGTGGGAAATGTGAAATGTTGATAAACACAATTAGTAACAACTCAAAGATACACATTCAAGTTTCAGTTGAATTTTTTCCTTCACAACTTTTATTTTTATGCGATTTCTTTTTTTTTCTTCAAAAATTATTTTGTACAGGAGCAATGTCCTAATTAATCTAAGGAGCCATCCATTTAGTACCTAAGCAAATAAAGCCCCCCCCCACCCCCCATATTGCACACATTCTTTTTTTTTAGACACTCTCTTTCCATGCATACGTACNCGTGGAACATACAAAATGGCATTTCATAAATGATGTCACGTGGAACATACAAAATGGCATTTCATAAATGATGTCACGTGGAACATACAAAATGGCATTTCATAAATGATGTCACGTGGAACATACAAAATGGCATTTCATAAATGATGTCACGTGGAACATACAAAATGGCATTTCATAAATGATGTCACGTGGAACATACAAAATGGCATTTCATAAATGATGTCACGTGGAACATACAAAATGGCATTTCATAAATGATGTCACGTGGAACATACAAAATGGCATTTCATAAATGATGTCACGTGGAACATACAAAATGGCATTTCATAAATGATGTCACGTGGAACATACAAAATGGCATTTCATAAATGATGTCACGTGGAACATACAAAATGGCATTTCATAAATGATGTCACGTGGAACATACAAAATGGCATTTCATAAATGATGTCACGTGGAACATACAAAATGGCATTTCATAAATGATGTCACGTGGAACATACAAAATGGCATTTCATAAATGATGTCACATGGAACATACAAAATGGCATTTCATAAATGATGTCACGTGGAAAATAAAAAATGGCATTTCATAAATGATGTCACACTATTTCAGCAGATTTTTTTCCCCCCGCCCAAAACCCCCCCCCCCCCCCCCCCCTCTTCCTTTGACACAAATTTGTGACACAAATTGGATACATGTACCAAACTTTAACCCTCCCCCCCCCTTCCACACACTTCCCCTAAACCCGTGGTGGACTAAAGATTGCTAAATAAATGTACGTACTTTATGCCAAGCCCCCCTGCCATAAGCATGCATATACAAATTCTCCAAAATCGACAAGACCCCCCTCAATGCATATGTTCTGTATGGATGGCCCCTTACAGGAACTTCATCATGCATAATTAACTGAACATGTTTGTACCTTCAAAACTTGTGTTCACTCATTCATTAAACCAGTTCACACTTGCATCAATCATCACAACTTGGTACAAGAAGTTACAACAAAATATACAATTGTACATATTATACAGCTATTTCATGGGAAGAAAGTAAAAATAAAAACAAAACAAAAACATTTGGTAGCAAGTAGATGCAAATCAATCACAACATAAGAGCTATAATTACTATAAACAACATGAAGTAGAAATAAAAAAAATGAATAAGAATGCCAAACATCAATGCTGCCTTGATTCAACTCTAAAATGGTGCTGCCTGTACACAAACTGATAGATTTATGCAAATACTTCACTTTTTGTCCGCTCCCCCCCCCCCCCTTCCATGACACAAGACACACTAGCTCCCTCAACTTCATCATACTTCTTCCTCCTAAACATGCCAGTCACTATATCAATAGCTAAGTGTGCATCTAAATGTTTTGTTGGCTGGGCTGTGAGTAAATCTGGGTCAATTTATCGGACCCACTCTACTCACCCACAGAAGCATCAGCAAAAGAAATGACCGATTTTGATGTGTAAATGGAATCAACGGGTTCATAATTCCGAAACAAAAACTTTGAAAAGGTCAATAGAACATTAAGGGACTTGAAGATAAACGTAGAACTTTATAACTTGTTCAATACAAAGGCCACTAATACAAATAGGTCAGTTACAAAAGTGAGTTTTGCTTATTGGAGCACACCATTCACCATTATAAGCAACAACTTTTAGGACACTCCATTGGTCAATGAGACATAACATATCATGTCAATTATTCTGTATTGCTAAGGGCTGTAAGGATGTTTATTTATAAACTACAGTATTAACATACTGTAGATAACTTTATGCAGGCAAAACTCACATGCGAGTTTGTGTTCAGTTTCCTACTAACAATAATACTTTCCGACAGACTCAAATGTATAAGACCACTCAACATATCAAACCAGCCAGACTCTCAATCAAACAAATAATTTTTTCTCATTGTGTCGTAGATTTAAATGAGCCATCGGAAATCTTTTCAAATCTATGATCTTATAAGCATGTATGTTGTTTTTTTCTTCTGCAAATAACTAAAATAAATTAACATAATTTTAAAGAGCAATATCATATTTAACAATATAGCACCATTAAGTTGCTATTGCAAGCACTTATGTACCTGGTTTTGTACCCGGCTTTGTCCCCAGATGTTCAAGTATATTTTTATCGTCTCTATCCTTTCCCACTTACTAAAATCTATGTGCTCACATTCTGTAAACCTAACTAAGCAAAGAAAGAAGTCACAGATCCACGGATTTTCTAAGGTTTTCAAGAATTAGTAAGATTTTTTAAAAGAAATACTCATAGTGTTTTTAGTACTGACTATTGGTTCATTTTAGTGAGAAACTCAATCTAAGTTCCTCATTTTAAAATGCACTTAGCCCACACAAAAATTATTTAAATATTTTTATGCCCACTGATATTCTTCATTTTCCTAAACTCATATTTAAAATAACAATTCATCTGGAATTTATTAAATACTTTTATAAAGTTGTCCCCCTTACCCAATGGTACCCATAGAAAAATATATATATATGATCATTTGTTTTATTTTTGGATAGTTTTAAAGAAAAATAAATTTATTCCATTCTACAATTTTTGTTCATGACACTAGCACCAATTGTGCAGAAATTATTCTAGACTAGTTATAGCTCGCCAAACATTGGCGACAGCAATGCATGAACTTCCCATCTACTAAAGTTACTTGACAAAATACAAACTCAAGTAACCCTGGTAACGCACATTTAACAATCCTAATTTTAGCATTTTTGCTACCACCCCCCCCCCCCCCCATGAACTATATTAATATTCTGATGTCCCAACCACTTTTGAACAGAATATTTATTACACCATATTTAAATTGAGACCATTTAATTTTCCAAAAATAAAATATTCCGCACCAAATGCAGGTGCGTTATTTTAAAAATATATTATTTAAAGTAGTTATCGGGGATTATATTTTGCGGGCTACCTGGAAATGGAAGCAGTTACACCACAAGCAAAATATATATAAGCATAAGAAATACATCAAATATACTCCCTTATTATTGTCTAAATCTAGCTTTATAAAGTGTTCTACTTACTAATCTTTTCCCTTATTTATAACTGATCGATTTTTTTTTTTTTTTACAGACATCAAGACTGTTCATAAATGAGCAGATGCGTTCATAAATGAACAGATAGTGAAAGAATGATCATCAAACATCCACACCAAAAAGACTACTCCAAAAAACTAGAGTAAATAAATAGAGATCAACTGAAAATGATACATTTCTGGGGGGGGGAGAAGTTTTTTTGTGTAAACCACGCGGCGAAATGATGTGCTTAATAAGTACGACTGTCTCTATTGGCTAGACCTGCAAATAACTCAGTTTTGAGATGGTATGTTGCAGGTCCCTCTATTGGCTAGACCTGCAAATGACTCAGTTTTGAGATGGTATGTTGCAGGTCCCAACACGAAATAAGATCAGAACCTCTGATGTTGGCAGAAAGCTCTGAGCACAGTAAACTGCAAATAAGGACTCGGGGTAGCAGGACTCGGGGTAGCGGGACTTGGGGTAGCGGGACTCGGGGTAGCAGGACTCAGCGTAGGAGGACTCAGCGTAGGAGGACTCAGCGTAGCAGGACTCGGGGTACAGCCTCTCCTCAATTTTACCCCTATTTTCTCATCAATAGCAGAAAAAAAAATAATTCAGAAGTCCCATTTATTTTTTTAAAACGTTTTGATTGCTTTTCCAATGTGAGTAGCAAAAAATATTCTGACTTAGTCATGTATTTAAAATTGTAGCCTTTTGACTACCTGTCCCCCCTTAACCTGTATCATGTATTATATTATAAATGTTTATTTTACAGATGCATTGCTCTACAATATGCATGTATATTAATGACACTCATCATACATTAAATTTTTTAACAATTCTTTATCCTCTTAAAATAAAAATATAATTTATAAAAAAATACATTATTTATATTAACAAGGGCTAGATTTAAAATAATGTATTGGGGACAATATATATTATTTTTAATCTAGCCATCTTTACATATAACTATGCATTATTTAAATTTAATTTTTTTTTTAAACATTATTTATATGTAACAATGGCTAGATTTAAAATAATTTATTTATAATAATTTATATAATTTTTATTGTAGAAATAATGCATCCTACACAAGAAGAATAAATGCTTCTATGTGTCGTCGACTGGGTTCTTTGACATGCCTGCACAAGTGGCTTGCACCATGCTTTCAAATATCTACACTAAGAGCTGCTCTCCACAACTGAATCATTCATGTATTATACATTCCTATGCAAATAAAACAAACTCCACTCATAAACAAAAGTAAATACAACAGTGAATTAAACTCAGGTTATTTACACAATTTTTTTCTGGCCAATAATGTAGGTGATGTGGTATCTAGTCAATTATGTGGTATCCAGGAAATGATCTAGAAAGTGATGTGGTATCTAGTCATTGATTTGGTATCTGTAGTTCATGTGGTATCTGTAGTCATTGATTCTGGTGTCTAGTCAATGAAGGATCAGTATCATTTATGGAGTATCTTGTCAAGGGATAAGGTAGTGATAGCTTAGTTACATTATTGTGTGTCTTCTAGAGCAGTTGCAGCCAGTCCCACTGCCAAAATCTAATGTGTGTTCTACTTTGCTGGATCAAGACAGTTACAGATTCTGCAATGCTCCTTGAAGACGACACTTGAAATTAAAACACCATCTTCTTTATCTTAAGCAATTTGCCGAGGCGCTGTTTAGCTGTAGCCAAACCTTTCTTGACTTTCTTAGCTGCAATAAACAAATAAGCGTGAAATAAATAATAAATCTTGCATTAGAAATTTGATGTATTCTGTTAGCAAGTTAAAACTCTTATGTTTGGAACAAGCATACACATTTGATGTATTCTGTTAGCAAGTTAAAACTCTTATGTTTGGAACAAGCATAGACATTTGATGTATTCTGTTAGCAAGTTAAAACTCTTATGTTTGGAACAAGCATACACATTTGATGTATTCTGTTAGCAAGTTAAAACTCTTATGTTTGGAACAAGCATACACATTTGATGTATTCTGTTAGCAAGTTAAAACTCTTATGTTTGGAACAAGCATACACATTTGATGTATTCTGTTAGCAAGTTAAAACTCTTATGTTTGGAACAAGCATACACATTTGATGTATTCTGTTAGCAAGTTAAAACTCTTATGTTTGGAACAAGCATACACATTTGATGTATTCTGTTAGCAAGTTAAAACTCTTATGTTTGGAACAAGCATACACATTTGATGTATTCTGTTAGCAAATTAAAACTCTTATGTTTGGAACAAGCATACACATTTGATGTATTCTGTTAGCAAGTTAAAACTCTTATGTTTGGAACAAGCATACACATTTGATGTATTCTGTTAGCAAATTAAAACTCTTATGTTTGGAACAAGCATACACATTTGATGTATTCTGTTAGCAAGTTAAAACTCTTATGTTTGGAACAAGCATACACATTTGATGTATTCTGTTAGCAAGTTAAAACTCTTATGTTTGGAACAAGCATACACATTTGATGTATTCTGTTAGCAAATTAAAACTCTTATGTTTGGAACAAGTATACACATTTGATGTATTCTGTTAGCAAATTAAAACTCTTATGTTTGGAACAAGCATACACATTTGATGTATTCTGTTAGCAAATTAAAACTCTTATGTTTGGAACAAGCATACACATTTGATGTATTCTGTTAGCAAATTAAAACTCTTATGTTTGGAACAAGTATACACATTTGATGTATTCTGTTAGCAAATTAAAACTCTTATGTTTGGAACAAGCATACACATTTGATGTATTCTGTTAGCAAATTAAAACTCTTATGTTTGGAACAAGCATACACATTTGAAGTATTCTGTTAGCAAATTAAAACTCTTATGTTTGGAACAAGCATAGACATTTGATTTATTCTGTTAGCAAATTAAAACTTGCAATGACAAAGTATATGGACAATGAATGGAAAATGAATTTCTTTCCCATTAAGAAAAATTCATTTATTCAATTAATTACAGCATGTAATTTTTGAGCATTATACATAATTAATAACTGTCAGTAAAATGGATAGATAATCGGTCAAGTTATTGGGGCAACCCTTTTATGAAACTTAAATCTACATGAAAAGTCCTGGTCAACATGATTACCTTTAGGAGCATTAACAGCAGATGTGTTGGCACAAGGGTCAACTGGTCTTTTTATGCCCGGCCTGAATGCATTTACTGAAAGAAAAGTATCAAAGTCTTACAAATGAAATTAATTCCAATTCTTAAGAAGGGTAAATCATTTTTTTTTTCTTTTAATTTTATAACCGTTTTGAAAGTAGAGCAATACTGCCAACAATGCCATCATTTTAAATGCCATGATCTCAAACCATCTGATTTACCTGGTTCATCAAGGGCAGAAGAAGGACCTGGCAGAGGCTCAACTCTGACTTACCTGGTTCATCAAGGGCAGAAGAAGGACCTGGCAGAGGCTCAACTTCAAATTCTTTCTTTTCAGGCACTTTCACCTTGGGGACTTTTTTTAACAGCTTTCTCTCCGTCTGAAAACATTGAACGCAAACAATATAAATTAAATGGATGTCACTTTTTAAAAAATTTTTGATGTACTTTATAGAAGAACGTTGGGACAATTGACAGCTTTTTAGTAATTTCTAAACTATTACTATTATAAGAAGCATCAGACGAAACGTTTAAAACAAAAGTTGCTTTATATCTTCTATTTCATTCAGGCATCTTGATCAGTTAACAGTTTTAGACAGCTCAGGTTCCAGGCATCTGACTCTCACTGCACAACTTGACACCATGCCGGTTCTGCTTTCTATTGCAAATAAAATTTGACTATTGACAGAAATTCACAAGTTTCTTGCAAATGTACAGTAGTGGCATGTGTCTTGATCTCATTTCATTTCAACGTAACGTTGTGGCCACCACCATTTCTCCCCACCCCCCCCCACTTTTTTTTTATATTGATGACACCATTTAAATTTGTAGCACCGCTCCTTTTTACCCACCCCTCCCTTGATTGGGAAAAAGATTGTTTATCTTTGAATGCGTTTTATCTGGTCAATAGAATGCTATCAGGTGATGCAATTTTCTAGAATTACTTTTCTGGAGGGTTCTAATTTTCCATTTGTTCTAGAAAGTTACTGGAATCAAAGATAACCATGCTCAAAGCAAGTGTTACAAATCAAAGCCATATCGAGCTGGCTGAATGTTTCAAAATTTAATGGAGCAAACAAAATTTAAAAGTTAATGTTGTAAACGTGGTGCCCTTCAAAGTAACTCTTGACAACAAGACATTCAAAGTAACTCTTGACAACAAGACATTCAAAGTAACTCTTGACAACAAGACATTCAAAGTAACTCTTGACAACAAGACATTCAAAGTAACTCTTGACAAGACATTCAATGCCTACTTTTTTTGTCAAGACAACTCTGATGTCTATAAATGTCATTTAAATGCCACAAGAGTTCTGAGACTGAAAAGCATACACTGCTCAAAAATAATTTCAGGCAAAATTAAAATACTTAATTCAACACCATTGACAAATGTAGCTGAAGTTTTTTGATATGTAACATAACAAGATATAAGAAACAAGCAAGTCTCACATCTCTCAGAGGAGGCTAAAGATCTAAATGTCTCAATTTTTTTCAAAGTTCTTTTTAGACAATGAATATATTCTTTCAATCTGCACAACTTTTTGAAAAAAAAAAGAAAAAAATATGCGTTTTTTTTTTAAAAATTTAAATACATATTTTTTTTGTTCTAACTGGTCTATGAAAAGTAAAACCCTTTAATGTTCATACAGCAGTTAGAATAAAAATATGCATTTAAACAAAAACCCACAGCTGTTTGACTGAGTGAAGAAATGTAACTTCATTTTTTAGTCATGTCAATCAATATAAATCTAATGAAGTCTGGACTCACAGGAGGGTTTTCGGCAAGCTTGGCTGCTGTAGATGCGAGGGTGCTTGCAACAGATTCTTTCTGAACTCCGACTCTGTGCTCCCTTTCTTGCTTGACAGCGACAGAGTTGACTCGAGCTGAAAACATCACAGGATACATATAAAAATCGACTTTACTTGATTATTATTTTTTAAAAACAGAGCACAGATATCTGAAATGACCATGTTACGACTTGACAGGATCTCAAAGGTAACTTTCTTAAATCAAAAGTTTAATATGTTGGAAGTGTTGGAAGAGGAAATCTTCTTTAAAAAATAAGCGACACGTAAAGAAGGACATAATTGTCAGGAAAGAGAAAACTGCCAGGAAAGAATGTGATCAACACAATAGTATGTCTGATTTAATAACAACCTTAAAATTCAGTTTTACAATAAGCCCTGGTTGTTATTGGCTGATCCCTAACAACCTTTAGGATTCCAGTTATAAGCCTAGGTAGTTATTGCCTGGTTCTTACCAACCTTTAGGATTCCAGTTATAAGCCCTGGTAGTTATTGGCTGATCCCTAACAACCTTAAGGATTCCAGTAATAACTGGTCCTTACCAACCTTTGGGATTCCAGTTATAAGCCCTGGTAGTTATTGCCTGGTCCCTACCAACTTTTAGGAGTCCATTTATAAGCCCTGGTAGTTATTGCCTGGTCCTTACCAACTTTTAGGAGTCCATTTATAAGCCCTGGTAGTTATTGCCTGGTCCCTACCAACTTTTAGGAGTCCATTTATAAGCCCTGATAGTTATTGCCTGATCCCTACCAACCTTTGGGATTCCAGTTATCATCTTTTTCTGACTTTTTCCTTGACTTGTACAGAGACTCTTCTTCGTCATCAGATAGATCAAAAGATGGATAGACTAAAACAAACAAATAAAGGTTTAATTTAAACACGTGTTACATAAATGAAATGCACCCTTTAGGGGTAGCATCATTACATTTAAGTAGCATCCTAACAATTAAGTAGCATCCTAGTATTTTAGTAGCATCCTAACATTTAGGTAGCATCCTAGCATTTTAGTAGCATCCGAACATTTAGGTAGCATCCTAGCATTTTAGTAGCATCTGAACATTTAAGTAGCATCTTAGCATTTTAGTAGCATTTGAACATTTAAGTAGCATCTTAGCATTTTAGTATCATCTTAAAATTTAAGTATCATCCTAGCATTTTAAAAGCATCTTAACATTCAAGTAGCATCCTAGCATTTTCAAGCATCTTAACATTAAAGTAGCATCCTAGAATTTTAGTGGCATCTTAACATTTTAGTAGCATCTAGCATTTTAGTAGCATCTTAATATTTTAGTAGCATCTTAGCATTTTAGAAGCATCTTAAAATTTTAGTAGCATCCTAGTATTTAAGTAGCATTCTAACATTTATCATATATTTCAAGCATAGATTATCATTTTTTTTTTATCACAACAAGAAACATCCAATCAATAGACGTACAAATAATATTTAAAGCAATTGCTGAAATCGTAGCAACACTAAAAGTCTACTTAAAAGCTTTATCTTTATTTTATTTAGAATTTAAGGGCTTATTTCATTCCAAAAATACAACAGAAAGAATCTATATGGAGGAAAATCTTAATTTTCATATTTGGACAGTCAATACCTTGAGACATAAACTGTTTTAGTTTTAAATATTTCTAAAATACTATTTCCATGGTTGTTGCTCCTTGTCAACCCAAAAATAATTGTAATGCTTTCATTTATGCTGGCGCAGCGTCCCATTCTTAACCACCTGCCTATTTCACTTCTGCTTTATATATTTCCAATGTGTGGTAAGATAAGAAATTTTTCAAAATTATTATTATTGGCCTAATATTAGTTTTATATATATATATATATATAGCATCCTTCCGTCTTCGTGAGACGATGGAGTTGCTATGTATACTTCAACAAATGCCTCAATAGGCCGATCCTGGAGTGGCAATCTTGGCTGCATTTCTCACAGGAGAATCTTGACTCCTGGTTAGATTTGGCTTCTGTATTGTTCTTTTTTTTTTTTGCAAGAGCTTTGTTTCACACATCTACCTTTTTTAATCCTTTATACACTGCGATGCGCCAGCTGGAACATTGCTCAGTAATGATCTCCCATTAGTTGATTTCTATGTTGGCTTCCCTCATGCTCCTTTTGCTAACATCCATAAATCTCTACCAACTCTCCATACAGCAGCTTTCTTCGTTCTTTTTACATGACCTAACCAGCAAAGGCACCTCCCGCAGAGAATATGCTATACATTTTTGCATATTCCAAGACCTCTGTGTTAGGCACCTTGTCCTGCCATCAAATTTGTAAAATGCGACGCAGACATCTCATAATATATATAAAGGTTTTGTCATCCAACGAAAACTAAGCTGAAACTCATTTTGTAAATAGTTTTAAATATACATTTGTTTTGTTTTATTTAATTAATGTATGTCAATTAATTTATGTTTGTTAAATTGTATGTACAGCGTGGTGAGCCAGCCCTAGACTGTATGTACAGCGTGGTGAGCCCAGCCCTAGACTGGGGTTGCATGCTACATAAAACCACGTTAATAATAATAATAATAATAATATTTAATTGTATTGTTATGTCTTGTTTTGATTGGAATAGTTGTTTGTGTTTTAAACTAAAAAGAATGATCTCATCTCACTGACATCTTTTACTAAACAAAAAAAATTGTATTTGACAGCGTGTTCACAAGACTAACCAAACTCTGAATCCTGATAACAGTCGGCCATCAGTTGCTCCTCTTCATCAACTCTCTCTTTTTTGTTCTCCTTGCCTTCCAGTTTAACCTGTGCCGACGTGGCGCTGGCTCCGTCCCCCATTCTGCTCATGGTCAGCATGCCGGCTATAGCGTCTCTCATACCACTGGACAGATCAAACAAGGGTCAGTTTAAATGAAGTGGAGGAAAAACATGCTTTAAAAAAAAGTTTTGCTACAATCATGTTGTAACATTGAAGTACTTAAAACACTTAGCAAGATTCATACACATTTCTTGAATTTGTTTCTTTCATAAATTAGGGGTTGTATATATTCTAGTAGAGAGTAGGGCTTGTTTTTCACTTCAACACAGAGCTATGTTTTGCAACACTGGCTTGTCTGCCAGAACACTGGCTTGTCTGCCAGTAATGACCTTAACATGGACATCACCGTGTAAATGTGTTGTCAAGTCTTTCCTGCACGCCCTTTACTTGGCCGAGGAAACGTTTGTTTACATTCAATGCGTTCTCAATTCGTTCTCAAGAATGCCAATAGGTGACGGATTTTCTAGATTTTCTTTACTAGGACTTTCAGATTTAATCCAATAAAAAGCCGGCCGGGTTTCTGAGCAGATAGTCATAGGCTTACACTAGTAACGATAGGAAACGGTAGCATTGCAAAGTTTTCCCAATTTTTTTTATTTTCGTTTTTTTTTTTAATGAATTCTTCTATTACTTCCTTTTTTTTCTTCTTATATGTGAGGGGCCCACGATCAGTTTGTTAATCATTCTGGCTCCTGGTTTAAATTCAGAGTTTGCCTTCTCTTAGATGGGTTGCCGTCCAAGGCTAACGAGTCCCATCCTCCCGGGGTGCTTGGGATGTTGGCTTTGGTGGGGATTGACCTCCAGACCACCGGCTATTTGGTTTGAGACACTTTAGACCGCTCGGCCGCCCTTGACTGAAACAAGTTTGTAAGCCAGTCGCATATCATTTTTGATACTTCAATTTAAATGTCAGCAAACCTAAGCGGACCCCAATGAAAAAATTGCCTTTCATGTAGTGTTAAGATCTGGAGCAGATCAATGACAAATAATTTTCACAGAAATGACTTTTGCAAGTTCGCAAGCTACATTCATATTAAAAACTCTGTTTTAAAAAATCCGTGAAACTGGAACTGAATACGAACACATAAACCACAAACCTCGTATTTGTGTCCACTTTGAAATCTGTATCTCCCCCATAACCACTAGCCGTTAGAATGTCACTGATACTTCCATTCAGCCCCCCTCGTATAGAGTCCATGTCGACTTTGGAGCTGGCGTCATCCGTAGCAGCAGGATCTGTCAAAATGACAATTGCCAAACTGAAGTTTACCTAAAATATCTTTACTGTGAAAATTCTCATAAAACTAGTCTGAAACTTAGGACAACATATTAGAACAATTTATGACCATTAGCTTATCCTACAAAATAATATATCCCCAACTTTTTCTTTCATAGAGTGATCTCTTATTTATTTTTTTTTTAAATCTTTAAGAAGGTATTAAATGAAGTACAGTCGGCCATAAATTTTTTTTAAAACACTTGTTGAAAATATAGAAATTTACAAATATGTAACAAATTATAATACATTTGGTACAAAGACAATCCCAAATATTTATTAAAATAAAAAAAAATAATAAAGCAGGTCTATTGAATTATTGTCTTAAATTTTCAATTATTTTATTTTTTTTTGTTTTCTCTAGGGAGCGGGAACTAGAAAAGTTTAACAAAAACTATGTATGTCGATAAATCAGTTTTTGAGGATCAGTCAGAGACGCTTAATGATTTTTATAATTAAAAACACATCCACGATAAAGGATGCAGACATATGCACTAAACAATGACGGAGATGAGTTCCCTGTGAGAATCATTTATGTGACCCAACTGTTTGATTGATCAATGTTGCATTGGTATGATGGTGATGTAGACAACTGTTTGACTGATCAATGTTGCATTGGTATGATGGTGATGTACATAAATTTCAAAGAAGACCATGGGAGACTATAATTAAGACTTCATTAAAACCATTTTTTGTTGTATGTAGTAATATGTTTGCAAAGCATAGAAATAGAAGATGCTTTTTAAAAAAAGAAAATTGAACACGAGGGACGGCTGCCAACAGAGATAAAGTTATTATAAAAGTGTGGACTAACATTTTAATGTCAGAGGGGTAAAAGCTTAAGAGACAAAGACTACCTGATGACATGTTGGACTACCTGTTGATATGTTTGACTACCTGATGATATATTGGACTACCTGATGATATGTTGGACTACCTGATAATATGTTTGACTACCTGATGATATGTTTGACTACCTGTTGATATGTTTGACTACCTGATGATATATTGGACTACCTGTTGATATGTTGGACTACCTGATGATATGTTTGACTACCTGATGATATGTTTGACTACCTGTTGATATGTTTGACTACCTGATGATATGTTTGACTACCTGATGATATATTGGACTACCTGATGATATGTTTGACTACCTGTTGATATGTTGGACTACCTGATGATATGTTAGACTACCTGATATGTTGGACTCCCTGATGATATATTGGACTACCTGATAATATGTTTGACTACCTGATGATATGTTGACTACCTGATGATATATTGGACTACCTGATGATATGTTTGACTACCTGATGATATGTTTGACTACCTGATGACATGTTTGACTACCTGTTGATATGTTTGACTACCTGATGATATATTGGACTACCTGATGATATGAATGTTGGACTACCTGATGATATGTTGACTACCTGATGATATATTGGACTACCTGATGATATATTGGGCTACCTGATGATATGAATGTTGGACTACCTGATGATATATTTGACTACCTGATGATATGTTTGACTACCTGTTGATATGTTGGACTACCTGATGATATGTTGGACTACCTTTTGATATGTTTGACTACCTGTTGATATGTTGGACTACCTGTTGATATGTTTGACTACCTGATGACATGTTTGACTACCTGTTGATATGTTTGACTACCTGATGATATATTGGACTACCTGATGATATGTTGGACTCCCTGATGATTTATGTTGGACTACCTGTTGATATGTTTGACTACCTGATGACATGTTTGACTACCTGTTGATATGTTTGACTACCTGATGATATATTGGACTACCTGATGATATGTTTGACTACCTGTTGATATGTTGGACTACCTGATGATATGTTAGACTACCTGATATGTTGGACTCCCTGATGATTTATGTTGGACTACCTGTTGATATGTTTGACTACCTTTTGATATGTTTGACTACCTGATGATATGTTTGACTACCTGTTGATATGTTTGACTACCTGATGATATATTGGACTACCTGATGATATGTTTGACTACCTGTTGATATGTTGGACTACCTGATGATATGTTAGACTACCTGATATGTTGGACTCCCTGATGATTTATGTTGGACTACCTGTTGATATGTTTGACTACCTGTTGATATGTTTGACTACCTGTTGATATGTTTGACTACCTGATGATATGTTTGACTACCTTTTGATATGTTTGACTACCTGATGATATGTTTGACTACCTGATGATATGTTTGACTACCTTTTGATATGTTTGACTACCTTTTGATATGTTTGACTACCTGATGATATGTTTGACTACCTTTTGATATGTTTGACTACCTGATGATATGTTTGACTACCTTTTGATATGTTTCACTACCTGATAATATGTTGGACTCCCTGATGATTTATGTTGGACTACCTGTTGATTGATATGTTTGACTACCTGTTGATATGTTTGACTACCTGTTGATATGTTTGACTACCTGTTGATATGTTTGACTACCTGTTGATATGTTTGAATACCTGATGATATGTTTGACTACCTGTTGATATGTTAGACTACCTGATGATATGTTTGACTACCTGTTGATATGTTCTCCAAGGGAAGCTTCCGTTTGAGTGAGGCTGGTTTAGTGGCTGACGTCGTCTTCTGCGCTGGAGCTTTCTTGGGCCTCTCATCCACAACCAGATGGTCACTGTCGCTGTCACTGCCCTTTTCAACAGGTTGTATCAACTTTTTCTCCTTTCTTTTCGATTTCATCTTTTCCTCAGACCCTTTCGTCTTCACTTTTTTCTCAGATTTAATGTTCTCCTTCGTAGTTGACGATTTCACTTTCTCAGATTTCTTTGACGATTTTTCGTGTCTTTTGCCGCTGTCATCCTCTTTCTTAATGCCCTTTAACTTTTCAGGAACTGTTTTTAAAGAGTCAGCTTTGGTTCCTTTAACAATTTTCTCTTTATCTTTGCCGTCTGACGGAGTTTCAGGTAGGCTCGTAGATTCAGGACCTAACAGCAGAAACTGCTTGAGATTCAGCTTTTTACTTTTTTTCTTTCTGTCGGTGCTAAAAATTGAAAACATATTCTTCAACAATTTCTATTTCATAAAGCCAAGGGAAAAACTTTTTAAAAATTTTTTATTTTAAACTAGTTTTGAAATGTTCAGACTATGCTATGCATGATCAACTTGTCAAAATACCTTTGTCAACATAACGTTTCCCAACTTATAAATATGAAAGCAAGAACTGAGTGGTCCAGAGGCTGTAATATTTATACATTATTGGTTTTCATGGAAGTGTTACAAATGCTCTTAACTTAGAGGCAAGCCAGTTCAAGTTTCTTGACCAAAACACTTACCTAACCATCTTGCCGTTGGACAACTTAAATTTGAGGCACTGAGGAATTTCTTTGATGGAATCGTTTGTCTCTGACTTGACTGGTTCCAGTTTTTCATCGGGTTCAACTTTCTCCTTACTCTTTTTCATCTTGACCTTCTTGTTGAGACCTGAGTTAGTGTTCTTGGCCCGCACTTCTTTGGTTTCCTCTTGCTTAAGTTTCTTCTCTAAATGGATTTTTCCTTCGCTCTTTATTTCTTGACCAGTATCCTTGCCGCTCTCCTCTCCTTCAGCGACGTAGGCCCCGGCTTTGGGGATTCTGACTTTCAGGCTCACGGAAATATCTTCATCGTCATCCTAAACGCCGATAAATCAAGCAGGTTATTATACACAGACCGTGTGTGTCACTCTGGCTACCCAATTCACTTTGGTCTATGTGCAAGTTAACAGCTTTTTTTAAAGTGTCACCCATCTCAACAGTTGGACACAACCTTCTTTGACAAGAACAGCTGGACACAACCTTCCTTGACAAGAACAGCTGGACACAACCTTCTTTGACAAGAACAGCTGGACACAACCTTCTTTGACCAGAACAGCTGGACACAACCTTCTTTGACATGAAACAGCTGGACACAACCTTCTTTGACAAAAACGGTTTTATAAACATCAAAAAAATAATTTTATGATCCAAATAATACAGAGATCCAATGGTTCAGCTATTGTAGGCAGCCTAAAGCCAAAGGCTTGTGAACAATTACGGCCCCGGTTAACAAATGAACTGTTTCTATGAAGCCGTGCTGTCAGTCTATATTATGTTTTTAGTCATCAAATGTCACTGGAATTGTGTCTTGCTCAAATTTAAAGACAGGACAATTGGGGTTTAAATCAAACATTTCTGTACACATAGTTCTATCAGTGGTCTAAAAAGACATTGCTAGACATGGCTTTGTAGACCAAAATGAAACGCCGGCTCATCTAGTTCTTACTTTGCCACAACATCAACTCCAGAAACAGGGAAAATCTCCAATGCATTTCCAAAATAATGAATAAAACAATGTGTTATCATATAAAGATATATATATTATATATATATATATATATATATATATATATACACAAAATGTCAGAAACAGGGAATACAAAAACAATGTTGCTATCCAACTTAGGCTAATACGTAAGCTTTAGAAGTTAATTAATAATCAATGTTGCTATCAAACGTACGCTCAAGTGTAAGCGTTAGAAGTTAAGCAAAATTAATTATTTTTAAGTACATATTTGTGTGAAAAACTTTCAGTTAACTTTCCACTGACCATAAGATACAATGTACATTAGGATTAAAGGCTTGGTGCGGCAGCTCCTCATTAAGTTTCCTTTATTTTCCATGTAGCTTCAGTTCAGTGGCCAAATAGTTAAAACTTTTAAAAAAAATTCACACACATCTCAATGAGTTCATTTTCTTTTCAGCCTGAAAACCTTAGTAACCACTTTTTAAAAAACCCAAAACACCCCGCCCACCTGTGCCACTCTCATCAAGTGTTCCAACAAATGTTTACCTCAAAGTTGTAAATTTTCTTTCTTTGTTCCCTGTCGGCGGCCAGTTTCGCCGTGTCGGTCGTCTGCTGTTCAAGGACACTTCCGGCTGATTTAAGGCTTTCCTTGGTGTGCTGGTCGAGGACGTCCAGACCTTTGACCTTCTTGGGACTCTTGGGCGCCTTCTTCTTGGACTCCTGCTTTTTAGGGCTGGCAGTTTTGGCTTTCGTCTGATCCCTTTTCTTAGGACTTTGCCTCTGTTGACAAAGTTTTTCTTTTAAGAAGATGCCGTCATGATGGATGGTTAGAAGCTGATGGTAATGGTAGCCTAAACGGCTGGGTAGAATGGACACATTGGTTAAGTTAGCGCCGGCTATTCTTAAAGGGGGGGGGAACTGTGGGTAAAAAAGCCTCAAATACTAAAATCAGAGGACAGCGGCCCAATTGATTTAGGATTTAAAATTGACAAACAAAAAAAAAAAAGCTGTAATTTTAAATCAGCCAAACTGTTTTTAAAAATGCAAATGGCTACCGTGTTGTCAATTTTCTTCAGCTCTTTCTGTAGTTCTTTAAGCACTTGACCTTGGTTAAGTTCGCGCCGGCTATTCTTAAAGGGGGGGGGAACTGTGGGTAAAAAAGCCTAAAATACAAAAACCAGAGGACAGCGGCCCAATTGATTTAGGATTTAAAATTGACAAACAAAAAAAAAAAAAAGCTGTAATTTTAAATCAGCCAAACTGTTTTTAAAAATGCAAATGGCTACCGTGTTGTCAATTTTCTTCAGCTCTTTCTGTAGTTCTTTAAGCACTTGACCGTACTGGATGTAGTCTGCTGCATCCTGCTTTCCCACTTTGGCATACTGCAAGTAGAACAACACAAGTAGTACACAACCCAGAATGGCCTGGTCACCACCAATAAACGAATAACACCTCACCTGTCCTGCCAAAACACCGTAATAAGCAAGCACCTGAATGTTATAATAGAAGTACTTCTATTTTTAAAAATAAGATACAGTTTTATTGAAAATCTGTAAATAATTTGATTAGTTATAAATATAATAAGCGCCCCCCCCCCCCCCCCCCCCGAGGTCAAACATCGCCCCCCCCCGTTCCCCCCCCCATTTCATCACCTCTGAGACTGCATTATTTGAGTCTATATCAATATGAATGTTTAAATGTTAGCTATTCTAATGGTTTTTACGCAACAATTCACAAGATATTAACATGTGAAGAAATGTTTTATGATAATTTATAGTCTTAATAAGTAAAGGTAAAGCTCTTTCCGTTATGTCACACAATTATATTTATGCAAATTAAGTCCATTTTATAATTTGGTCACAAAAATTAATTTTATTTATATCAACAAAATTTGTTGCTAAAAATTTGTGAAACCAGTTAGTAATTTTTATAAATGTTGTTGCCTTTGAAGTCATAACAGATCATTTAAAGCTTCCATATTTTAAGAAAAAGCCATCTCACTAAGATTAAAAAGGGGAGAACATAAAAACATGCAGCCTTTACACAGGAATAAAAATGATAACTATTAATGAAAGGAGGGAATATGCTTTTAAAATAAGTTAATTCATCCCAATATTTTGTTAGTAAGATAAAGTTTTGGACTTTTCATTCAGAAGATAATTCCAGTAGAAAATTCAAGCGAATAAAGCAATTTAGGGGGGGGGGGGGGGGGTTGTGACAAACTGGCCTACCAATCATGCAATAATTTTAAGCAAAAAAATTATTCAGGTTACTGAAAGATAAATAAATTTTGGTTAATGGACAGCCTAAACTAACTGTAATGATGAAGTTGATGGACAGCCTAAAGTAACTGTAATGATGAAGTTGATGGACAGCCTAAAGTAACTGTAATGATGAATATAGATAGACAAGTTATTTTGAAGGCTTACTGTATGTAAGAGCCATTGGATAGTGAAACCTTAGTTTGACCAACAACAACAACAAAAATATTTAAGACCACTAAAAATATATTCATCAATTACAATATTTGACAATGTGACAAGGGTTACTTTCAAGTGTTATGAAACCAAGTACAAATACAACTACGCGTGATTGGAGCCATCACAAAAGTTTACACAAACACGCAATGAAACAAAACATCACCGACTGGAGGGTCTAAGTTCACAAGCCGGTTAAGATGACTCAAGAATATTTTAGTATGAAGGACAACCGATAGCAAACTAAACATATTCCACTACTATAGACAGCAGTGTTTAGCAAACTAAGCATATTCCACTACTATAGACAGCAGTGTTTAGCAAACTAAACATATTCCACTACTATAGACAGCCGTGTTTAGCAAACTAAACATATTCCACTACTATAGACAGCCGTGTTTAGCAAACTAAGCATATTCCACTACTATAGACAGCCGTGTTTAGCAAACTAAACATATTCCACTACTATAGACAGCAGTGTTTAGCAAACTAAACATATTCCACTACTATAGACAGCCGTGTTTAACATTTGATTGTGACCAATCAGCACTGGCTGTTTTTTTTTTTTTTTTCTTTTTTTTTTTAAATATTTTTTTTTAAAACTTTTTTTTTTTACTTCATAGAAAAACAACACACATTGAGGTCTCTTCTTGAGATAGGCATTTTATGAATTGCTCATTCCCCCTTTTTTTTCTTTTTTTTGTGACCAATCAGCTCTGGCTTTTTTTTTTTTTTTTTTCTTTTTTTTTTTAAATATTTTTTTTTAAAACTTTTTATTTTTACTTCATAGAAAAACAACACACATTGAGGTCTCTTCTTGAGATAGGCATTTGATGAATTGCTCATTCCCCCGATCCCGCGTACAGAGCCTACAGTTAGTATTAATCACCAGACACAATGTGACACTAGTTGTAAAGCACATTATAACAGTAAGCTGCATGAGTTCGCCAACAGTGAGCATCCCGTTCACTAAAACAAACACAAGTCACCACATAATTGCATTTAATGACCAGAGAATGAAAAAAGCAAAAGTATAATTCAGGTCAGAAAAGAAAGCATTTGTTCGTTGTTCAGGTCATCTGAAAATCTAGACAGACCACAACTGCGACGGTGCTAAATGATACTTCATCACGAATCAGTCGTAAACTGATTTATGTGTGACTATACACCACCACATTAGGCCTGTACCAGCAGTTCTCAACTTGCGTTGCGGGTATCCCTGGGGGAACACAGCGGGCCGTTTTGGGTATGCAAAAATGATATTGATAACTGGGGGAAAAGGGCCTAAAAGGTTGGGTTTTTTACACCTGTTCATTTGCGGGAAGCTTTATTTCACCATTTAGAGATATGTTAACAACAAATCTTGTCCACAAAACTCTTTTTGAAATCATCCTAATAATGAAAACACTGTCTCGTTCTATGAAATCCGAAGATGGTTTTTATTGATTTGTTTCTTGTTTCACCGCCAAATACAGTTGCAATGTTTATTTTTGAGATTGGATTTGGCTACGTCCTTTGTGAGTTGAAGAAACTGAAATAACTTTCAAACAGAAAAAAATGCCAATAATTGTCATTAGCTTTATCTGCTGCTTATACTCATATATGAAAAGTCTAGTCATGGTGTACGGAAGAGAAAAAAAAGGTTGGGAACCGCTGGCCCGCACGATTAAATTAACATGGTTGAACAGCCTGAGAAGCTCTACGCAATACGTTAGAAAAAACGTATCTCTTTCTGTTTCGTACGTCTCATTTCCAGGTTTGAAACAGCTAGCGCTTTATACTTCCTGCACTGTTGCGGAGGCGTTAACTCCCACTATACTTTATTTGGTATTTTCAAGGTGAAAGAACCCATCAAGTCAAGTTTCTGTTCAACTACAGTACCGAGGCAAGAACCCATCCAGTCAAGTTTCTGTTCAACTACAGTACCGAGTCAAGAACCCATCCAGTTAAGTTTCTGTTCAACTACAGTACCGAGTCAAGAACCCATCCAGTCAAGTTTCTGTACAACTACAGTACCGAGTCAAGAACCCATCCAGTAAAGTTTCTGTTCAACTACAGTACCGAGTCAAGAACCCATCTAGTCAAGTTTCTGTTCAACTACAGTACCGAGTCAAGAACCGAGTCAATGTTTCAAGTCAATAAATTAAGGATTGAACATTTTTTTAATTTTCTTGTTCTTAATTGTTAAGTCACTAAACTGTCGGAGCAGTTCCCAGGGAAGCTAATCTTAACTTCCCTAAAATAGCTTAGAGAGTAAAACCCCTGCAAAATGTAACAACCCCCCCCCCCCCCCGAAATTATGAAGTACAAATGAGCCACACAAAAAAAGTTAGTTTTAAATCTTGTGCAAATTTTCATTTCCCAAAGAATATTGACTTTGACTATTGTCAGCTATCTCATCAAGACCACTGAACCTACAGTTGTCAGATGCTTTGACAGGATAGCTGACAACTGAACCTACTACTGTCAGCTATTACGTCCATGCATCTGGTCACTGAACCTACAGTTGTCAGCTATCCCGTCAATGCATCTGACAACTGAACTTACTATTGTCAGCTATTATGTCCATGCATCTGACAAATAAACCTACTATTGTCAGCTATCATGTCAATGCATCTACTTTTGTCAGCTGTCCCGTCAATGCATCTAACCACTGACCTACTATTGTCAGCTGTCCCGTCAATGCATTTAACCACTGACCTACTGTTGTCAGCTGTCCCGTCAATGCATCTAACCACTGACCTACTGTTGTCAGCTGTCCCGTCAATGCATCTAACCACAGACCTACTGTTGTCAGCTGTCCCGTCAATGCATCTAACCACTGACCTACTACTAGAATCTAGATAACAATCCATGAAGCTTTTAAGAAATGATAATTATTCTAAAAAAAGCAAATTCAAGACAAAAACATGACACCAGTTTATTGCTAGGGGAACATGGCATGAAGGATGCAAATGATACAATGTTGCACTCACAACAAATTTGCTGGTGAGCTGAAATTGGGAAAGGGATATAAAAAAAAAATATTTGTTTAATAGCAACAGGTTTAAATGGCACAGAAACCACTTGATTCACTATTTCTCTCCTCATCCTATTTGAAAAGACAGGCAATGTGCTTGAGTTGAATAACTACTGAAGAAATGGTGTTGTTTTTTTAAACAAAACTTTCAATAATTTTAAATGATGAAATGAAAATTAAAATATACCAGTCCAAACAATGATTATGTGCACTGCATTGAAAAAGGAATGAGTATACCACTTTCACTTTGATCATTTTACTTAGCTCTGAGACTTAATCGTTCATACTTAGCTCTGAGACTTAATCGTTCATACTTAGCTCTGAGACTTAATCGTTCATACTTAGCTCTGAGACTTAATCGTTCATACTTAGCTCTGAGACTTAATCGTTTATACTTAGCTCTGAGACTTAATCGTTCATACTTAGCTCTGAGACTTAATCGTTCATACTTAGCTCTGAGACTTAATCGTTCATACTTAGCTCTGAGATATAATTATTTATACTTAGCTCTGAGATATAATCATTCATACTGAGCTATGAGGCATAATCATTGATACTTAGCTCTGAGACTTAAACATTCACACTTAGATATGAGACTTAATCATTCATAACTAAATATGAGACTTAATCATTCATGCAAAGCCCGAGACATAATAATTCATACTTAGCCCTGAGAATTAATCATTCAGGCTTAGCCCTGAGATTTAATCACTTATGAAAAGCCAACATTCAACTAAGTAGTGACTTTTATTTGAATAATCTTTCATAATATTCCCCAGAAGAATATGAACTCTTCACCATCCCATTTCAAAAAGTTTAAAGCATGATTTTAACATTAATAATGGGCTGTCTGCCCGTAATGATCCTAAGATTGCATCCATTTAAATAACCAAAGACCTGACAGAAAGATAACAAATCAATAGCAAAACAAGAATTGATGAGACTAGAAAGTTAATCCTCCCCATGGGGAAAACGTCCCAAGTGCTCGCAATAATTTTAATTCTTTCAAAAAATATCTAAACAATATTTTAAGCCTAGAGGTTGATGCACAAATGAAAGTTATGTAGCCTATATAAAAATCACAATTATAAATCATTTTGAGCATCTCACTTTGTGAGACTGGTCTACTGAGACAAACATCCAGAATTGTAAAGAGAAGGGGATTATATAGCAGAATTATAGAAGGAAGGGAAAGTATAGCAGAATTATAGAAGACGCTATAAAAGACCATTAATTATTATTATTATTATATAGCAGAATTATAGAAGGAAGGGATTGTATAGCAGAATTATAGAAGGAAGGGATTGTATAGCAGAATTATAGAAGGAAGGGAAAGTATAGCAGAATTATAGAAGGAAGGGATTGTATAGCAGAATTATAGGAGGAAGGGATTATATAGCAGAATTATAGGAGGAAGGAATTGTATAGCAGAATTACAGGAGGAAGGAATTGTATAGCAGAATTATAGAAGGTAGGGATTCTATAGCAGAATTACAAAAGGAAGGGATTATATAGCAGAATTTCAAAAGGAAGGGATTGTCTAGCAGAAGTACAGAGTAGGGATTATGTAACAATGTGGGTTTTAAACAAAAATATTTTCATTTCTGATATAAGTTTGACATTATAAAATTTCAGTTTGAACTTTAATTACTTCAATGGACCAATTTCTGTAGTTTTAAGAAACTTAATTGTACTAACTTTTTGTAAAACTACGGGTGATCAGAAATACTTACATCTTTCCTTTGAGTCCATGACTTAAGACTGACAGACAGAGCTCTGGCTCCTGCCACAAAATACTCTGGGGGTCGTTTCCCCTCCTCTGTGTAATCTATAAATTTACATGTAAGCTATACATTTAAGAGTAATCTATAAATGTAAGTTATGTAAGTTTTGAAAGTTTAAATTTACTAGCCGTTGCCAAACAATAATTTTTAATGACGTATTTGAAATCTGTGACAAAATACTGCTCTAAACACTAAATAATGTTGACATATCATGACAGGCCGTATCTCATAATTTATTTACAGACATTGAAACATGGCAATGCAATCAAAATCCTCCATATTTTGGATGAGAGTATCACAAACAAGAGTAGACATTGAACGTACACATACATAAGCACATGAGTGTTAGATATGAGAGACGTGTCCCCAAAGGGCATACTAGGAATTTTATTTCTTATTTTAAGTTGCACCTTCGGTTAGCTGGACTAAAAACTTACGAAGCTGATTTTAGAGTATTTGATCCATCGGCATAGTGCAAAAGATGTTCATTTTTAGTTGAATGAGCTCGATGGGAATATTTTTGGCACCTGATTTCCCATAACAATTTCCACACAAAAAAATTAATAATAATATTAATAATATTAAGCTAATTGACCTCAATGTCTCGTGTTGCAATTAAAAGATATTTTTCACATTGTAGTTACTATTCTAGTGTCTCTGGTTTTTCATTTGTATTTTACTTTAGCAGTTTAAATAGTTAACATATTTTTAATAATTGTAAAGCGCTTAAGAGCTGTAAGGTAAGCGCTATACAAAAATGCCTAAATAAATAAATAAATAAATAAAAAATATAAATATAACAACAGACTGTTCCATTTAATCTTACCTTTGAGTATATCAAGTAAGCTTTTAGCAGCATACCAGTTCATGGTCTCATACGAGGGAAAGAGATATTTCTCTGGGGTTTTGACACTTCTTTCAATCTCATAACACCTGGGTGTAAGAGATTATGCAACGTAAGACAAAAATGATTAAACATCCTAATCTAAATTTGTTGATACAATAAAAAACAAGTGTTTTCAATAAGATCTGATTTTAAGGACCCTAATTATGGCCTTATTATAGCTGTGTTCCACCGCACTTGTGTCAACATGACATTTACAGTTACACAATTATCATATAAATTTTTTTACTTTTCAAGAAAAAACTCAAAACATTTACTGCAATTGTAATGGGATGTTGAAATTGTGCAGAAAATTCCCTCCAAACACAAGAGAGTCAATGGGAGTAAAGACGGCGTGTATCCACCCAGTGGGTATGAACAATGTGTGGCCTTGCTTCACAACCATGCGATAGCAGTGATCAACCTGTTATTAAAAACAATTTTTTTTTAAAATTGTAATTTATTTATTTATTTATTTAGGCATTTTTATATAGCGCTTACCTTAAAGCTCTAAGCGCTTTACAATTATTAAAAACATGTAAACTAACTAAAATAAAAATGAGACATTAGGATAGTAACTACTATACTATAGAAACAATTAAAATGGCTATAAAACGAGGACACTTTGGCACGTTTAGGCCTATACTACAGGATCAACCCGAGACAGAAAATGAGGCAGGGCAAGGAGGGTGCATCACAGGTCATAGGCCGACCTAAACAGATGGGTTTTAAGGGACTTTTTAAAAGTGGACGAGGTTTCACAATGACGGATGTGGAAGGGGAGCTGGTTCCAGAACGTGGGCGCATGGAAGTAGAAGGAGCGTTCACCGATGGTCTTAGTTTTGGTTCTAGCCTAGTCATGGTCACATGAAAATTTGATGAACTCAAAGTAATTCTACTACTAAGAAATCGATGTCTGCCTGTAACAAACATACTGAATGGCTTGCTTAGGGCATCCTGCAGGAGAAGCCAGCACAAAATCTCTTCCATTCATCCTACCTGATCACCAAAAAACATTTCACTCTGGTTGGAGGAAGACAGCCAGGTTTCGTAAAGCATGAGGTTGGCTTGGGTCGGCCGAATCAGGTAAAACACTTTTTCACCCTGAAATAAAGTTGAGTCCAGGTTGAAACTAAGAGATAGAGAATTCATATGAGATGATACAACCTTGAACTTCACCCTCCCATGCACGACAAAGAACGTACTCTTACAATGACAAACTTGAACTTCACCCTCCCATGCACTACAAAGAACATACTCTTACAATGACAACCTTGAACTTCACCCTCCCATGCACTACAAAGAACGTACTCATACAATGACAACCTTGAACTTCACCCTCCCATGCACTACAAAAAACGTACTCTTCCAATGACAACCTTGAACTTCACCCTCCCATGCACTACAAAGAACATACTCTTACAATGACAACCTTGAACTTCACCCTCCCATGCACTAGAAAGAACATACTCTTACAATGACAAACTTGAACTTGACCCTCCCATGCACTACAAAGAACATACTCTTACAATGACAAACTTGAACTTCACCCTCCCATGCACTACAAAGAACATACTCTTACAATGACAACCTTGAACTTCACCCTCCCATGCACTACAAAGAACATACTCTTACAATGACAAACTTGAACTTCACCCTCCCATGCACTACAAAGAACATACTCTTACAATGACAAAAGTCAGGGAACAATCGTCCACATTTTTACATTTATTATTTAAATAATGTAATAGTCTCAACTTCCAACTTCAAATATGACTAATAATAATAATAAATTTTTCTTCTAATACACATACTTGCAATATGACTATTTCTATTGACTACGCTTCCTGTCTTATTGTGCCATGTGCTAGTAATGGAAAAGCTGAATAAAATTTAGTGCCGATTGCACTCACTTAAACATGGTTAGCATGACCAGTGATACTTTTACTTTAGGAGCACTCTCTACAAGCCTCTAGCTTACCCTGAGTACATGGTACCATACGGATGTCCCTCTATCCTCTACAAGCCACTACACAGCTTACCCTGAGTACATGGTACCACACGGATGTCCCTCCACCCTCTACAAGCCACTACACAGCTTACCCTGAGTACATGGTACCACACGGATGTCCCTCCACCCTCTACAAGCCTCTCCACAGCTAACCCTGAGTACATAGTACCAAACGGATGTCCCTCCACCCTCTACAAGCCTCTCCACAGCTTACCCAGAGTACATGGTACCACACGGATGTCCCTCCACAAGCCTCTCCACAGCTAACCCTGAGTACATAGTACCAAACGGATGTCCCTCCACCCTCTACAAGCCACTACACAGCTTACCCTGAGTACATGGTACCACACGGATGTCCCTCTACCCTCTACGAGCCTCTCCACAGTTTACCCTGAGTACATGGTACCACACGGATGTCCCTCCACCCTCTACAAGCCTCTACACAGCTAACCATGAGTACATGGTACCAAACGGATGTCCCTCCACCCTCTACAAGCCACTACACAGCTTACCCTGAGTACATGGTACCATACGGATGTCCCTCCAAAGTCAATGTGAAAGTCTGTGAAACTGTCCTTGACGCCCATCAGGCAGTATTTCTGAACCTCAGGGCGCACTAAGGTGCTGTCCTCTGGAAGCTGTTCAGGCCAGACATTCCTCGCCCAGCTAACTTGCCGAATTATGCTAGGTGGAACAACATGTTCTGTTAGCCTGTGGAAAAAATATCTATATTTAGGTGAAACGTACAAATGGAAGAAAATTTAAGTAACTTGAGCACTACAGTAACTAACAAACTTTTTTTTTCATCAAAAGATGTTCTCTAACAAATTATATTTGATGTGATACGAAACAGGATATTTGTAGCATCTTTAACATTTGGTTTCTTACATAGTTTAATCAAATAAGATACTTCACATGGTATCCTATATTTTTGAAAATGATGAATGAAATTACTTTGTGCCTGAAAACTCGAGGCTGATAACATTAAGAATTTTGTCTCTGTTTGGACTGTTATAGTATTCGGTCCACTCTCTCATGGGCATCTTTATGTCATCTTGTCGTGCGACATCAATCACATCGATTTCTCTCATAGAGCCTGTACAACAGGAACAAAATGTTTACCGACAATTTGAACTAAATCAATGAATTTTTATTTTAAAAAACAAGACAAAGGGCACTTATCATTTATAAAAACAAAACATATTCTAATAATAATCTTATAATAATCTTATTTGAAAACTATGTAAATTTTTAAAAAATTGTAAAAACTGAGAATTATAGGCTAACTGTTAAATAACTGACCTACTAATTGCTCAATATCCTGAATTGAAATCGAAGGCGGAGGCAATGTGAGGCCGAGCCCATCTTTTTTCTCACACAAAATGGGAACATCAAAGCCCTCTTCCTCAAAATATTGAGCGGTGATTTGACTGCCATGAAGTCGTTTGATCGGTATTTCATCAGCACTATTAAATTTAAAGTAACAAAAATAATACTTTTGATAAGTAAATGCCAAAGAAACCCAAAGCCGTTCGTGAATTTTTTAACATTAAATCTGCTAACTGTAAACTTAAAAGCTATCCTTTTTTTTTTCCCTGAAAGTAAAATTTTTGAGAATCAAAAGGTGTTAAAAAAATACAACACCTTAATCGTGCAACTTTTGTCTATGGACTCTGGTAACAGCTTTTACCTGGGGAAAGACCTGCTTTTCAGCTCTTTGATAAACACAACTGTTCCAGTTTGCACCGCCTGAAATATAAGAAAATTATAATTGAGATTAGCCATAAAACTTGTGACGTATGGGATAAGCAATTAGGTTAAAAATTGCTTTTTTAGTTTCATTTTCATTATTCAACTGTCGCTCTGCTTATACAACAGAATCTTTCATTCAAATGTCACTAAGCTTATATAACAGAAGTTGTTATTCAAATTTCACTAGGCTTATATAACAGAACCTTTTATTAAAGTGTCACTAAGCTTATATATCAGAAGTTGTTATTCAAATGTCACTAGGCTCATATAACAGAAGTTGTTATTCAAATGTCACAAAGCTTATATAACAGAAGTTGTTATTCAAATGTCACTAAGCTTATATAAGAGAAGTTGTTATTCAAATGTCACTAAGCTGATTTAACAGAAGTTGTTATTCAAATGTCACTAGGCTTATATAACAGAAGCTATGACATAGATTTTAACAGTATCAAGTCGTCCCTCTCCCCCATAGACAGCGACGAGGCCATGACAGGCAATTCAGGCTCATACCAGCAAGAAGCCAGTATAGGAGCTGCTCATTCCTGCCCAAGACAATCAGGGACTGGAACCATCTTTCAAATTCAAACCCCTAGTGCATGATTTCCTCATCACCACCAGTAACAGAAACATTGCAAATCCCATCTACATGCATAGGAGCCAAAATGATCAATAAATTGATCGTGGGCCCTTAAGATATAGAAGAAGAAGAAGAAGTTTTGCTACACATAAGCTTTCCTTAACTCACTTTGAAGATTAGCGGCATATCTAACATAAATAAGCAGGCGCTTGGATTAACACTGTTCCTTTTAAAAACATACCTTTTTAAGTTTTGAGCCATCCTCTGAATAATCATGCCGATGCCAATTGCGTCTGTTTTTTACTGAAAAGAACAAACAATTCATTTCTTTTCAAAGTAACATTTAAATCACTATGTAATTTGTTTTTTAAATGTAAACATTTGTTTTTGGAAATAAGGTGAAACAAACATATTTGCTGACTTGATAACATGTCTAAAGAAAGAAAAGACAAAAAGGAAATAAAAAGATTAGCTTACAAACAAGTGGTCCGTGCTTCGGAGCGCAGTTGGGACAGTGATATATTTCTATATCTGCAGCTTGATGCTCTTGAATATTGACACACCTAAAATATTTTGTCGTAGATCTTAGACAACATTAACATACATTTAAAATCAGGACCGTTCTCGTATTTCACAATACTCTTCCACTAGACACATCCATTAATTGAATTATAAATTCAAAATTACATGATAAGTGTTTCCTGACAAATTGTCTTTTTTTTTTTAAATTTTAAGAGCTTTTTATTTTCTCCGTTCCCCTTGCTTGTTGCCTTAGACTTAGAGACTAGAATGGTGCCGTGAATAACAAAAGATACATGGAGGTGTACCATTTGAGATCATGTTGATAGTTTTTTGTTTTGGAAAAAAAATGGCGATGTTTGACTTAAAGTATATAGGTCATGGAGGATGTCTAGATAAACCTCCAGATAAATAGTTCAGCATTCAAAAGACTGAGCTCTGTACACTAGCTTTCTTGCCCCCCCATCCCTATTTGCATTTTTACATCTGTGTTTGATGTATGACTTAAAAATTTAGAAATTACAAGGATAATAAAAATAAAATCCACTTATCGGGTCTTCAATGACATTTACTAAATTTGAGATGTTGGTTACCAGCCTACACCCCCCCCCCCTCCCCGAATTTACATTTAAATACTATTTTACATTTTTGTTTGATTAATTCATTTAAAATTAAAATCGACTTATCTGGTTCTCAATGACTTTTACTAATTTAGAGATGTTGGTTCCCCGACTACAGATGTAGGCCACAGTAACATTAAATTTGTATTATGTGATTTAAAAGCCATTTGAAACAGTTTAGTCCTCAGATCCACAGCCGGTAAGACAACCCACCTATTATTCATTTGTGGTAACAGCTGCTTTATGAGCCCCCACCCAGATCATTACGATGCACAAGACGATAAAAAAAATATTCGAAATGGTAAACCAGTATTTTCTAATGTAGGTTATGTCTAAAGTGACAATTATGTAATTTTAAATTATTTTTTGATAGTTAGCCTATGGGATATATAAATGTTGACCCTGATTAAGTTAAAGGTGGGTTGGGCTGGGTGCAATGCTAAAACATCACATTTAAAAATAAAAAGGTAACCACCGATATTTGTAATGTCATTTTTATTCGACAATGTTCTAGCTTTAAAAAGGCAGCCAACACCCAACTGTTTGGCTCTGCCACAGAAGACACACACGCTATTAAATATTACTGTTGCAGTGTCCATCCAGGTGAAACCACCAAGCACATTATTACAATAATTACAAAACATTGCGCCAATATTATCATGAATTTTGAAAATTATTAGAAATATTTGATTTCCCATTCAGAATTTTAGCTGACATTTGGCTTTATTTGAAATGTAAATCTGCTATGTAAGGACCTGAATTCAGTATATTTGTGCTTAAATTAACGTAAAGATTCTGCAGAGCCCTTCAAAAACAACACATATCATCCCCTTACCCCTCAGTGTGCACATAATTGATGAATTGTTCCTTGCAGCTTCTGATGGCCTTTTCCTAAATTGCTTTCATTTTTCAGTCGATTGAAATGATAAGGATACGTGGCTCTACGGAGTCAAGAATGTTTCAGCCAATCTAGAGACAGCATTTTCAGCCTTACTCACATTTTTCCAAATGGTTGTCAATTTGGCTTCTCAACATGGATGAGTTTCTTTTTTTATTACTGTTGAGCCTTGTAAGTTAAATTTTAATTTAAAAAAAAACATTGGAAAAGTGGGAAATTTTAGATCATTTACATTCTTCATGCAACACTGTAAAGGATTCTCTCCCCTTTGTTTAGTTGGAGATTGTTACTGGAGTTAAACCTTCTCTTTTTTTTATATTAATATACCGACAGAATGTTTTAGATTGATGGCTTTTTAAAATTATTATTTCACAGCGTGGTTAATTATTTTATACGAGGCTATTTTGCCTGTGTGATCGTCTGATCCTTTTGAAAAATGGATTTTGAGTATTCTGACATCTTTTGGATTTATAAAATATGTAAAAGTGTATAAAACTGTTAGTTGAGTTTTCATTATTTTGATTATTTTAAAATTAATTATTTTCAAATTACAATTTTCTCAGTACAGTGTGTAACTGTAATACACAAACACATGGTGTTAGGGTTCACGTTAGGTCACTGTTTTTAGGTTTGAAGATTTACTCTCAAGTTATAGTTATGGAAGGGCTAAGTTTAGGGGTAAATTTAGCATTCAGGTTAGGTAGAGTTGTAGGTTTTTCTCAAAAAATTATTTAATTAAATTTTTATTTTTTTGGTGATAATTTTGAACTTTTTTTCTAATATGTTGGAATTTTTCACTTTTTCCAATTATTTATTAGGTTAATTTAGTTTCTTTAATGTTATATTTTTTATGCAATGCAAGTTTTAAAAAAAAATCTTTATTTCAATGTTTTTCTTACCCACATTCCTTATTTTCATTTATCTCTGTAAGTAGCTAAAACATTCCTCTCTGTAAGTAGCTAAAACAACACATTCTCTCCCTTTTCCTTCTCTATTTCTATAAGACCTACATTTGCACTACAGAATATTTTTTTTCTCCTTTTTTCCCTTCAGCCGCCATATTTGTTGCTATGCTGCTTTCATAGTAACAAAGCGGGCGGCAGTGTGAAAAATCACTTGGGAAATGAGTGGCGCAGAGAACATAAATTTACCTAAAATTTCATTTTAACATATTTCATATTAACGGTATCGATCGCCGGATTAAGTTTATGTTACAATGCTGATTGAAGAACGGGAATGTTACCCTACATATACCTATCGTTCAAGTCCAACTTTTGTTCTTGTAACCCTAAGTCAGTTGTTGGTATTCCCCAAAGTGACAACACTGTCAGTCACTTAGGGTGAGACAACTCTAGTCTTGGCAAAACCTATGCCGGTCAATGCAAAGAGATTGCACCATGAATGCATTTACATGTTTTTGTTAAGGTTCGGTTTTGTATTCACTCCCCTTGCTTTTGTTACTAGAGTTAAATTTTTCTTAATCTGATAATGGATGTTTTCAATTAAAATTTTATTGATTAATCATAATTTTAAAATTTCATTGTTTGGGTAATTATATTTTAATATTCCCGCAGTATTTGAAAATGGATTCGCTATTGTAATTTATTCATTTTCTGAAATTTTTAAAATATTTTTTTTGGTGGAGCCTGAAATAAACTAAAGTGTGTATAATGACTAATCTATGAAACTGTAAGTTAGGTTTTTTATTATTTTATAATTATTTTGTGTGTGCTGGCAAAAAATACAAGAGGAAAGGGAGCAAGTGCAGGTCGGTGACGCTTCTTGCCGCATATCTAGAGGGATAAGATAAAGTGGCTACGCTCACCGCGCAATTTATTTTAAATTACATGAGGAAAGGGAACAATCGCAGGTCATTGACGCTTCTTGCCAAATATCTAGATGGATACAATAAAGTAGCTACGTTCACCACAAAATTTATGTACCCGCTGACATTTTTTCATTAAATTTTAATGTTTTATTCCTACTAATTTTAGCAGACGTGAGTTATTTTATTTTTAAACTGCAGCCATCTTGGTTGCCATGACCCGTGACCTTTCACAGGTCGTGGCAACCAAGATGGCGGCCATGGGAAAAATCGTGGAACATTCTCATTGCATTCACCCCTTATGACCTATGCCCCTAATTGCACCTTTACCAAATAAGAGGTAACTGCGAAAAATATACTACCAGTTTGGCTATTGTTGAGAATCGTGCCCATGACGTCATTTGCGTGTTTATTCAATATTGTGCAGGAGTCTTTCCCTTTTGTTTATTTTGATTGGATGAAGTGTCAGCATACCCATGACGTCATTTGCGTGTTTATTAAAAATTTGTGCCGCGAAGAAATATTTTAACAACCGGTTGGAACAAGATTTCATGTGAATAATTAACGAAGATTAAAAGAAAAGTTAAATTTTATGATTTTAAAATTCATGCTCAGAGTGTGGAAATGTTAGAACGTTAAAAGTACTAATAAAAAGTATAGAAATTAATTTTCTTATAGGGTACTTTAAAATTATGTGGATATAGAAAGGTGTGCTTAAATATTACGTCACTGTGGTCTTGTTGTTGCAACGACTTTTGGGTAACTTTTGCATAGCAGACCTTGTATTTTATTGATTTTCTGGATATTATTTAACATGGAACCTGAAATAAAGTGTGTAAAAGTGTATTTCATGAAACTGTAATTTGGGTTTTCATTAATTCTTTATTTAATAATTATTTTCCGCCATTTTTTCTTGCTTTTGTTCATTTTCATAGTTTTTTGGGCCACAGTGTGTAAATTCCACATGTTCTAACTTGCAGCTTTAGGGCTAGTTTTAGAGGGCTTGAGTTAGTTTTAGGGGTCAGGTTGGGTTAGGGATAGGTTTAAGGTTCAGGTTAGGGATAGGTGTAGGGTTCAGGTTAGGGTTAGGTTTAGGGTTCAGGTTAGGGATATGTTTAGAGTTCAGGTTAGGGATAGGTTTAGGGTTCAGGTTAGGGATAGGTTTAGGGTTCAGGTTAGGGATAGGTTTAGGGTACAGTTTAGGGATAGGTTTAGAGTTCAGGTTAGGGTTCAGGTTAGGGATAGGTTTGGGGTCCAGGTTAGGGTAGGGATAGGTTTAGGGTTTGTGTTAGGGATAGGTTTAGGGTTCAGGTTAGGGTAGGGATAGGTTTAGGGTTTGTGTTAGGGATAGGTTTAGGGTTCAGGTTAGGGATAGGTTTAGGGTCCAGGTTAGGGATGGTTGCCATCAATTTTTGCTAGTTTTATTTAAAATTTTACACAAATTTTTTTTTTTCAATTTCAAATTTTTATAGTTTTTTTACAATTTTTAAAAAATTACCCAAAAATTGTTTTTGTTTTTTTCACTTTTTCAGAAAAAAGAATTTGCAATTTCTTTAAATTTTACATTTTTCTTGAAACGCACTTTAAAAAAAATTCTATATATTTGAGTGTTTTCGTTTTTTTAAAAATAAAATTTTCTTGAAAAATTGCTTATTTTTTCTATCTTTCCGTAAGTAGTTGATAAGACGCATTCTCCCCAACCGTTCCCTTTTTCACAACACGTGTCTTTGCACTACTTTTTTTTATTCGGCCGCCATCTTGGTTGACATGGTCCGTGAACTTCTCACGGATCATGTCAACAAAGATGGCGGCCATGATGGGAAACCCCGGGCATCGTCCTCAACATTTACCAGTAGTAGGCCAGTACAAGTTTAAATAATACTTTAAAAATAATAATTAAACAATGGTTGGTCTCCTTGGAACCCAACTGGTCTTTGGAGTTGCTCACATATGCGACTGGCAAATTGGCAGTGACTGGAACTGGAGTGGAGTAATCACTGAATCAGTAAGTAATTCTGAGTAATCAACTGTCAACAGTCACCAGGGCCAGGGCAGTCACTGGCCTGGTGTCCTCAACTTTTGTAAACAAATAAGAAGCAACGGTCTTATGCGAAAATTGAGATTTTAAAAAAAAATAATAATAATCCACATGCTTACCCTCCATGAAACCAGTCTTTACAAACGTCACATTCTATCATAAAGCGAGTTTCATCGTATGGCAAGCGACATAAACAATAAACAGGATCGTCTTCAGCGGCCATTTTGGTGAACATCTCATATTATCAAATAGGAGAGCAGATTCAGATAGCTATTTTGAAGGCGTCGTGAACTCAAAAGAGCCGCGTAATGTAGAGAGTGTTTTGTATCACAGTCAACCTTGGACGTATGGTAAAATTATTTTCAGTAAATCTACCAAACTACTTTCTGCTATATAACCCAGTGTCAAAAATGAAAAATAAGCCCCCTGGAAACGAACATCCAGTAAAAGAATCATCAATTGGGAACACGGATACCTTTAAGATATTATTTTTTAAGCCGTACTTTGACATATTCAATTAAATATGAAAATAATATCATCATTAGGGGAGTCCATTAAATGCGTCAACAAAATTAGAGGGTTTGGAGATTTTTGACAACTGTTGACATGGGGGAGGGGGGGGGGGTTAGATTAGTTGACGTCAACAATCATGTTTTCTCTATTAAAATTTTAATCTTAAAAATTGACTGGTAATTAAATTATTTTTTAAAAAATATAAGTGTAAATAGACATATAATTTTTAGGCTTTTTTAATAACAATATAAGATTTATTTTTAATGTGTGTCTGTCTGTGCACTGCAGATGGCTGGTCAGAATGCTTGCACACTTTGAGCGGAGACCATTCCCTCCCTGAATCAAATCATACTTTGCTGCTTAGTCTTTGGGTCCAGTATGAATAAGTAGATGCTTCATTTCCATTTTTTTTTTTTTTTTACAAGAAAAACTTACGAGCATTTTTCAAATTATTGATTTTTTTTTAAAAGTTCAAATTTCCCCCCCAACCCCCCCCCCCCAAAAAAAAAAACAAAAACAAAAAAAAAACAACAACAACACCAAGTTATGTGATATTGGGTTTGCAAGACACACAACTTAGCTCTGATTAGCAAGTTTTGGGCTTTCAGCATTCTGTCAAATTTTCAAGATGGGTGCTGTCCACAGGGGTTCTTTATTGTACTCAGAAATTATTTAATGCATGTCTTGTCAGAAGCGTCACAGGGGGGATGTCGACCCTACAGACCTCGTACGAGTCGGTTTCATAACAGATCTAATGTAATTGATAGTGCAGGGTGCTACGCAAGACCACACGAAAGGGAGGTGAGGGGGGATGCGCCCCGGTCGTCATCATGCAGATGGCGCCAAAATTGTATTTTTTCAGGTAAATATGTGTATTTATATACATAATTTTTGGGAGGGAGTGCCTAAATCCTGGCTTTGCTGGGAGAGGAGCTGTTGCTTGCATGGCCCTGTTGCCCCCATGCATGGCCCTGTTGCCCCCATGCATGGCCCTGTTGCCCCCCAGAACAAGTTCCATACGCACATAACGTTCAGTTAGAGGCATACATGGAGCTGCAGCAAGTCTCTGATTTTTTTCTGGGCGCTTGAGTACTTCCCTAACTGCCTGAGTACATCCCTGACTGCCTGAGTGCTTCCCTGACTGCCTGAGTGCTTCCCTGACTGCCTGAGTGCTTCCCTGATTGCCTGAGTGCTTCCCTGACTGCCTGAGTACTTCCCTGAGTGCTTCCCTGACTGCCTGAGTACTTCCCCGACTGCCTGAGTACTTCCCCGACTGCCTGAGTACTTCCCCGACTGCCTGAGTACTTCCCTGACTGCCTGAGTACTTCACTGACTGCCTGAGTGCTTCCCTGACTGCCTGAGTACTTCCCTGACTGCTTTCATATGTCGTCATGCACTGATGTTACCATCCATTGTATTGAAAATTGTTTTAAGCATGAGCCAGCCGACCATCAGAAAGACAAAAATCAGTGGGATAATGAATACCTGATTCAATTCAGACCTTTCAGAGCTTTGAATGGCTTGGTCAGATTGTTCAATTCAGACTTATTTTTGAATGGCTCAGACAGATTCAGACTTATCTTTGAATGGTTCAGTCAGATGGTTCAATTCAGACTTATCTCTGAATGGTTCAGTCAGATGGTTCAATTCAGACTTATCTTTGAATGGTTCAGTCAGATGGTTCAATTCAGACTTATCTTTGAATGGTTCAGTCAGATGGTTCAATTCAGACTTATCTTTGAATGGTTCAGTCAGATGGTTCAATTCAGACTTATCTTTGAATGGTTCAGTCAGATGGTTCAATTCAGACTTATCTTTGAATGGTTCAATTCAGACTTATCTTTGAATGGTTCAGTCAGATGGTTCAATTCAGACTTATCTTTGAATGGTTCAGTCAGATGGTTCAATTTGAGACATATCTTTGAATGGCTCAGTCATTTGCCCATGAAGTGAAAACTCCATTCAATTTCAGATGCAGCAAAATATAAATGACACCTGCGTCTTTTGTGTGGTCAAAGATAGGATGGTTTAGTTCTATACGCATTTTATGTATGGTCAAAGATATGTTTTAGTTCTCCATCAAACACTTCACCTTGAAAAATGCCTTCTCATCTTTGCATAATATGCCTGAGCAGTGGTTGAAATTAAAAATAAACTCTATGATGGATAAAACCTAAAACCGATAAAAAGACGTTGTCGAAAAGGAGTGTAAAAATACTTACAGTGCCGGTAGTCTGAATGAAAATATTACAGTGTAGTTATTGTCTTGAAAACTCAATTTTAAATGAGACTTTGTTATTCTTACCCTTTACAGGATTCACTTTGAGCTGAAATAACACCAACTATTTAATAACCTTTTGCAATGCTGTTCTTGACTAGATACTTTTGTTTCTCATTCTCCCAGGAGGATGAAGTCTAATAATTTACATCAGAAGATCATCTTGTTGAAATTTCAACAAGATCACACCATTTCAAGGATTCATTTCAAGATTTCATTAATTAATGTCAATAATTTGTGTGTAGAGCCCTTGTGGTCTTCCAATAAAATAAATGATAAACTTTATGACATATCACAAAAGTGATAAACAGGCAGAAACCTAGGGGCAGCTGCCTCACCGGTCGCCCAAGGCTGAGATGGATCAACGATGTAGAGGAGGATTGACACCAGTCGGGGGTTCGCGCATGGAGGTGGAAAGCCATGGATCAATCCGAATGGAAGGATGTGGTGGAGCAGGCTGTAGCGCCACTGACGATTTATGACATATCAGTTTTAGCAGCTCCGATGTGGAGTCATATTGATTGATTTGGATCAATGGAAGCAGGCCATCATTTGATAGACAAGAATCTGACATCCACCCCCATTTCCCCACCACCCACCCTCTTCTACAAACATCATGAAAGGAAACCAGCTAATCACATTTAAAACATTCTTGTACTTCTTGGAAAGTCAACAGATTCCAATCAGTTTTATTTTTAAAATAATCAAAATTATATTTTTCTGAGCTGAAAAATAAATTCCACTAAGAAAGACACTTCATTTATGACATGCCCTAGTCAAATCGTGCCTAGTTAAGTGCTAAAAAAGGTATCAGTTTAAAAAAATTATCCCATCCGGTAACACAGCGGAATGTGGGATAAATCGTTTTGCAAATAATATTCTATTAGTACTATTTTAGATCTATAAATCTATGGCACCTTCTCTTCTTTGCTAGTCATAAGAACAGGGGCACATCAGCAGTGACAATTTTCAATAGTCTTCCTGTTGAGATTGACAAATTGTTTTTTGGCTTGAAACTGAAGAATTCTTCAAACAATTCTAGAACACTTGCCCGACTTCATTCTGTCATAAAACCCAATAACTAACACTCAAAAAGAGTTTTCATTATTTTTTATTTCAAAAGTTCAGTTTGATTACAGTTACAGTACACAATTTGAATAAAATAAGTTATTTTTATTATTTTTTTATTATATAAAAATGCTTATTATTACAGTAACCAAGCTGTATCTCTACACAATTCTAATAAACCAGTGTCATGAGCACAGAGCGGCTGTCAAAGTCATAGGACACAATAGACAGACAAACCTCACATTTCAAAATGTCTACTTTACAAGTGGCCAAAAAAAAAAAAAAAAAAAAAAAAACAAAAATTATTTTTAAAAAAAAAAATTAAAAAAAAAAAAAAAAAAAAAAATACCTCACATTTCAAAATGTCTACTTTACAAGTGGCAAAAAAAAAAAAAAAAAGAAAGAAAACAATAATTATTTTTAAAAAATATAATTTAGTTTTTACAATAAGAAATGTATGATTATATACATATCCAAACTTACTATTACATTCCATTAAATTAAACATAACTGGATGATGCTGAAATGTACCAAGAATAAACATGTTTCAAAAATACGAATCCAATGACAATAAACTATTGATTTCTTCCAGGGTCTCAGCGACCAGCCTATGACTAAATTGTTGTACACACCAGATGTTTGTGAAGAAAAGTTGTTTAAAATTAATATTTTCAGAATGTCATATGTCGCTAAATGACTACTGCAATGTTATGTTGTTTTGAAAAAAATGGGGGAAAAAAACCAACTTTCTTGTTCTCGAGTTAATCGAATGCTGGACACACAAGATATTGACAGCACGCACGCCAGAAGTAGCATGCCGAGCTGCACGGAAGCAATGGACTTTTTGTTGAACTAAGCTACATCTATTTGAAGCATGTGCTGGTAAAAGTATAAGACCGTGAGTATGCAGCTCATCTAGGGCTTTCGAAGTTTGTTCACTTAATTCACTTATACATATAGATAGACGCACTACAGTATTAAAGACCAGATGAGTTAGGTAGTCAAACATGACCATGTAGGAGCTTACTTATCTCTTGTTGATACCTAATGAAGTTGGTAATTATTTTTTAAAAAATTGATCGTTTTTGTGAAACTGGCCAGAGTTGAGCAGATTTTAATCCGAGCGTGTTGCAAAAGGTTCACATGTGTGTTGTTCGATGGGACAGAGGAAAAGTAAGATGGGACAAAGGAAAAGTATGATGGAACAAAGGAAAATTATGATGGAACAAAGGAAAAGTAAGATGTGACATAGGAAAAGTAAGATGGGAATTAGGATACAATCAAACAGTAACAATAGATTGCTTAGAATTTGAAGCTGTTCCTGACCTAAAGACAGTTGCCAATATTTTGTTTATACTTGTATCGTTTGGTTGG